CTGGTTTCCATGACAGCGCTGTTTGATCTAATAGAGATCTACGGTTAATAACGGAGAAATGTGAATGCATCTCACTAGATCTCGCAGCGATGTTATTACTTCAGTGGCGAATTCAAATGTTTTCTTTACCGGATCTCTTAGCGCGGTGTGGTAACAGTGTTGCTTGATCGAGATCGGCTCGCGCTGCACAGATGTTGCTGGTCCGAACTGATAAACGATCCGTGAAGCACATAACGAGGAGCGCAGTTTCGTTCTGCTTTCATTACGCTTGCCATTTGGATGTTGCGCAACGTTGTGTTGGCCGCGTCAGCACGAATTTTGCCGGCAAGAAAAATGGTCCAAGCAATCGTTCGGTTTGTATGCGTACCGAACCGGAAGCCTCGAACCGAAACGGTTCAATACGAATACATGTACCGTTACACCCCTAATATATATATATATATATATATATTTACACACAGTCATATATATATATATATATTTATATTTAGTGTTGTTTTTGACTAAAATATGCTGTGGTGATCAGTCTTTTCCCACATTTCTGTACAGCTTGAGTTGATGAAAATCCCCAAAGACTGTGTGTGTTACAGAGAGATACTCAGTAGTGTTTTCTGACCTTGAGGTGTCACGCCGCTGTCCTTCCACGTTCGTGCTTGAGTTGGTCTGTGATTGTGTCTTAGCTGAAGTGCTAATATTATCATGGTTTGATTTATACAGGGACATATCATGGTTTGTTCTATACACAGTTTGTAAGAACCATCCGAGAAAGGATCCTTGGGTATATTTGTCTATCATATTTCTGTTGATTATCAGCTCCGACTCAGAACACTTGGGGACATTTAAGTGGTTGCTCTCCGCTCGCAAGCAATGATTTTAAAGTCCCCGTGAAATCAAAATTGAACCTATTTACTTTGTTAGCGCATATTACTAGTCTTGTGGTGAACAATTAATCCGTGCAAGTGAATATATATTTAAAAAATGTTTTACCTTAGTAATCTTTAATCAAAATCTGAAAAGTTACTTCCGGCCTGGAACGGTTTCTTTTTCTGATGACGTAGGCTTCACAGTTTGGGTGGGGAAACGCGTAACCACTCCCCTCAAACCGTTAGTTTACTATGAGCGAGAGATGGAGAGGAGGAGCGCTAGAGTAAAACCCTGCCCTCTGTTCAATATTCCGTTTCACTTGGAAATACGTCACAGCACTGGAGAAAAATCGTTTGCAACTTCCGGTTCACGGGGACTTTAAGCCCTCCACCGAATAAGATTGTCAGTTAATCTTCCCATTTAAAGGAGGTTAGTCATTGTTTTGTCCTAAGGATCAGGACAGCTGGAACATTGTTTGTGTTCTGGTTCTATTGACAGCTGAATGATTGGACTGTGGTATAAATTCTCGCTTTAAGGTGTTTAACGAGCGGGCCGCGTTGCTTTTATGAGCTAATAGTAGATCCGGGAATAGCGCGCGGGTAGATGTTCATGCGGCTAGCTCTTTACCACACAAGCGAGCTCGACGGAAGAAACGCGCCGGTGTTGAGGGTGCGCCTCCTCTAAAAGGGTCCGCCGTCGGGTGAAACATTATGCATGCTATTTTTATTTACCCGCCACGGTGGCTGGTAGGTGAAGTGAATTTACCCGCCACAACACAAAATCACCCGCATTTGGCTGGTGGCGGGTGCTAATTTCCATCCCTGGTGGGGATGCTTAAACAAAATATTTTAATAGTTGTACTGATACACATTTGGTTTACACCCAACTGTTTACATTCACTTTAGACATTACCGGCTGTGTTTACATGAATACTCTAGACGATGTGCATTTTAACATAATTACGCGTGTAATTCGACCATTCAAGTGCAATAATACGTGAAAGAGAACTGAATTTGCATTCACATGCTGAGAGATGCAGCTTTCTGTGCACCACATTGAGTTCGTTTTTATTGTTTATGCTTAACACTTTTTTAAAATCAAGTCCAAAATTTGTGATAGCCTTCTGAGAGAGACAGCTTTCTTTGCGCACACTTTTGGCATTGTGCCAGTGAGCGTGAGCACTGCACAGAGTTCCTTTTTAGGATATATTGCACTTATAACTCTAACATCAATCACGTCTCGTTCTTTATATTCTCAATAATGTATTTCATCACTCTGGTGTGTCAGTGTTATATATTTACACTATATATATATATATATATATATATTTAGTGGTATGTATATTTATACATACCACTAGCAAAATCTCTAAAGATACCGTAGGGACCATATATATATATATTGTCATTCCGGCCAGCCCTAGCTGACAGCATATTTGATAGTTTAAAAATGCAGTCCTGTGGGTTTATTGATTTTGAATTTTGAACAGGATGTTTGGATTTTGACAAATTGAAGATCTTGTCCTCTGATATTTTTTTGGAACATTTGAGTAAAGTTTAATTATTACTACTTGGTTGTTTTGCTTTTTATTATTTCTACATGGGCATGATGTGTCAAAGCAGCCATCTATCGGTCATTGACACGTGACTGATTTGAAGGATTGTAGGCCTTTGAGATATATTGTAGATCATATTGGCCTATGCAAACTATCCTCACTCACATCCAACCTAGTAGCTTTTTAGACTTGATTGTAGTTATTGTTAAAATTAATATTCACGTCCTGCAAAATCAGTTTTCCTATTTTCATTTCAATGCCTGTATGTAGCTTCCTGCCTTTGATCTTCACATAGTGTCTGTTTATCATTTCGTGGCCTTGTCCTGTTTGTTTCCTGCTTCCTCTAAGGACAAACAGGTTGGGAAATCTCTCATCTGCGCACGTTCAGTCTTTTTGCACCACAAACGCTCTCAGATCAGACTTGTCACTCAGTTTGTTCTCTTAAGATTTCAAAAGCTTTGTGTACCTAGACAGAAACTCTTGTCAAATTTCTCTTTAATAGCAAACATGCTCCATAATCATTCATGTTGATAAGCTGCCTCCTGTGGCCAACTGTGTGTATTACAGAATGTTTATGTCCCTCCCCACCCTGAACCCATGTGGAAACATTTTGAATGCCTCAAAATGCAAAACACTCATCTGAACTGGCGAGAGTGGAAACATGGCATTCCAGTAAAAAAGACGATGACTGGTCACGGTGTTTGTTCAGTTTGTTCCAGGGAGTCATAGCATGTTTACAGGAGCCTCATACTTGTCTTTGTCTGCCTCTTTGGAATAAATTGTGATTTATTTCCACATTTCCTGCAAAATCTGAAAGTTTATTTACATTTTAATGCCCCTGTGTGGTGTTCTGGTCATTTTATAACATTCATATATTATTGTTGTAATAATTGTTGTATAGTTCATTCATAGTTCATTAATAAAATTGCATGAATTCTTTTTTTTTTTTCTTTTTTTTTTAAGCGTGGACAGATTGGCTGATCTCCTCACGATCACAGATTGTGGGCTTTTATCTGGGCCGGTTATTTTTCCAGCCTCTAATATACAGTTAGACATTGTAATTGTCAAAAGTACTAATACTATAAGAACAAGTCATGCTAATTAAAATAATGCTTAGTAAATTAAGGACTTTCTTTAGGTGTTGGTAGTGATGGCTCAAGTCAGGACCCATGCACTGCCTGACTGACAAAACAAGCATTCAAAACATTCACTAACACTCTGCGTGTTACTTGTCCAACTAGTGCCTTGCTGCAGTGTGGTTCTTTGACTACATAAAAAGAAAATGTAATTTGATTGGTTGTCAGTAATATCACGCATGGTTGCTTAATAATGACATGCGGTGGACACAAACAAATGTTTTTGTCCTGCCCGGTGTGTGTGTGCTAGCAGTCGTGCTTGAAGTGGCTGGATTGTTGTACATGAGCTTGATGAGCATTGATAACCCTCTGCCTTTCTCCCATTGAAAAAGAAGTGCAAACTTGTGATCGATTGTAACACGACCTTAAAAAGTTGGCCCCGTGTACATCTGAGAGTGACGGATAAAAACACAAAAAAATCCTAAGGGTAGTTGTTGGTTGAGTTAATTGATTTGATATTCTCTAGTGTTGTTCTTTTGTTGTTGTCAGGCTTATTGGAAGCAGAGCTGAGTGTAATTCCAGCCTGTAAAGAGCGTTCTTATTGGACTGTTTAAAGAAAACACAAAAAGTAGTGATGTGTGCCTGTTTCAGTCTTGTTTCAGCAAAAAAATGTGTTTCTCTTTTCATCATTCTCTGCTGTGGCTTTTCTTTTTCCTTCACTTTCATCTCTCAGGTCTCTCTCTATCTCTCTGATTCAGGGAAATCTTGACTCATGTTATTGTGCTTCAGATAAAAAGGTGCTCTTTATTTCTCCCCATGTTTTGCAATCGTTTTATTTTGTTATATGCACTGGCTTTACTCTGTTTATTTTGCCTCACTGCATGAGCTTAGAGACCAGAGGTTATACAAGATTGTAGTGGTACATTTTCAAAATGGTGCTTGATCCTATGTTATTTATTTATTTATTTGAATTGTTTATACTAAATTACGGTTTAATGGGAACAAAGTGAATTTGAATTGTCTGTGACAAATGGCTTGTGAAATTCTCTCACACACATACATACAAACAGTTAGAGGAAGTTTTGGATTGAACTGATGTTCTTGGTTAACTTCCTGTCAGATTTTGTTTCTCGGTTTTATTTTCTCACTTCCATGTCACCATGTGCTGTGGAGAGGCGATAACTATCAGACAAAGGTCACTTGATGTTTTTCATTACACCTTACTTTTTTTACTACTTTTTTTAATTGTATAATTGACTGTATTAGCAGTGAAAAATGGATTGGAAATTGTGAGGACAAGATTCTGTAAATGACTCCACCCAATTAGCCAAATTAGCTTATCTTATTTGGAATCTTAGTAGCAAAGTCAATGGGATGCAGTTGTGCATTTAGCTAAAAACAGTGTGAATGCTATTTACTGACAGATAGTGCCTAAAACATGAATGAAAATGTTTGTTAAACTGTTGTCCTAAATTGTAACTAGTTTGTTTCTCTGTGTTTTCCAGATGTAGGAGAGCAGAAGGCCGTTATGCTGTGGACAGAGCCGCTATCATCAGTCACTGGAATTGGCTACAGGCCCAAGTCTCAGACCTGGAGTACCGTATACGTCAACAGACCGACATATACAGACAAATACGCTCCAGCAAGGTGTGCACAGATACACAAAACATGTACATTCTCATTTTGAATCCTGTAAGTTCACATCATTCTGTTTATCCCAGAATCACTTGTGTAGTTTAAGTTTAACCCAGCGGAGGTGTGGGATCGTTGTTGGTGATTCAAGATAATTTGAAGAATATCATCAAGTCTTTTATCTGACATGTGATTGATTGCATTTAAAAGTCGTTCTGATTTAATGTGAAACTTCTGAAATGTATAGAAAAATGAAATAGAAATCAAACTGGACTAATATTTAGCAAATTGCCGTTTTAGGTCAAATGAACCTGATTAGACAATGCAGATTTCAAAAGGTTTTTTATTTAAATTAAATGAAGTGCATGACATTAATGGTACCATCACATTACCAATCTTTTGTGAGTTACTACAGATAAATATTTGATCTGCTGTGTGCTTTTAGACTGAGCAAATCTAAAGGATTTTGACGGGAGGAAAAGCAATGTCTCCCAGTTTTGGTCTATAATTTACGTGTGTGGTTGTTTGTTTTCTAGGGCTCTGTTGTACTTGGGGTGAGCTCAGTGTGTGAGTCGGCACCAGAGGACAGCAGTGACTCAAGGACAGAGAACATTACCTGCCCTGTCACACGGGTAAGGCCAGGAGACACAGACACATGACCATATTAAATAAACCACCAACAGTCTAGTCCCGAACTTAGTTTAAACTATAATTCAAGACCAATGCATTTGTTTACTGTTATTTTTAGATTACAGTACTCATTTATCAATCCATAAAACAGTCCAAGACCCATTAGTATGTTTATTCTCATACAAACAGATAAGATGCCCATGATATGGGCCTACGCACAGCCTAGGAGAATGCTGGGATTGTTGAGCTAAAGGATTGAGAATAGGGGCTGCAAACACTCGGCCTCTTTGTCTGTTGTATGCAAAGCGTTGCTGACCTTTTCATTCAATCAGAGTAGTGAAGAAATGGAGCAAGATACTATTCAACTCATCCAGACCAACTCAGGGGGGGAATTTGTGGGATGTCCTTTCCAGCATCACATTTGTTTTTGTTATTTTTTGTTTTTAGGAGCATGATACTGTTGGAGTGGAAGTGTCTGTATCATCCAATGGTATTGTCACAGAAAGTGGCTTGAGGAAAAGCTGTGGACCCATGAGACAGGTCAATGGTGTTATCAACAGGTATGATAGATATTTAAAGGGGCATTCATTATTTTTTTTCCTCTTCATTAAAAAGTTTACCCCAAAAAGAAAGTTACCGTCATGTTGATTCATGCTTATTACCTCTCTTCATCCAGCTTACGACCCGGTTCCCCTGTCACCTCAAGCCCATATGAGCAGAGCTGCTCTGAGTCTCAGCAGAAGTTGGAGCTGGGCCCTCTGGCTTCCTCTGTGCTTGACAACACATGTGTGGCGTCCCGCACGCGGCCACTGCTCTCATGCAGGAAACGCAGGGTCCTCCGGCCCGGTTCGCTCACCAGTCTCAGTCGTAAGGTAAGGAGACATCATGTGCATCTTCTCAAGATCCAGTGGCTAGTGTAGTTTTGAGCAAAAAGGGCTGTTCACACTTGAGTCTGATATGAATCGTTGACGCATAACTATTATAGTTTCACTAAAAATATTCACTAATGATGGGCTTTTTACTTATTTTAACCTCCTATAGTCTGACTAAAAACAGATCTTTGCTGTAAAATGTGTCATTCTTGGTGAATAAGGTCAGTTGGTGTGAATGGGCCTTGAAAGCGATGTGAGATGTGCGAGACAGAAAAAAACAGCTCTTTCAGTGTAACCTGTGGATGTGTTGTACTGAAGATGCACTGAGCTCCTTAAGGTCCCTGCGGGCTTCTTGCAAAGGTTACAGATTAAATAGAGGTGACTTAGACCGAGGAAACTGCAGTGTTGCAGAGATTAAAGTGCTGCTCCAGAACTGACACTATTGTCGTTTATTGTGTTGGAAGATTCTATGAATAGTATATTTATTAGTTACATATAGGATCAGGGTTTTGGTTCAGTGGTTTTTCTATGTGAAGTAGAAGCCAAGAGGATGTGGTTTGAAAACTAGTTTGGCTGGTTGGGATAGAAACTTGGATTTATATAGAAACCATAATTTTTATTATTGATCGCCTCACACCTGGCTATGACATGGTGTTAACAGTCCCTGTTGTCGTCTGAAAGATGGGCCAATATCTGCCCTATTCACACTTGCATTTTGCTGCATTTATAAGACAGCTTCAAAGTCTTAGCACTGCATTTATAGATCTGTTTGCTTTCTGAACAGCTTTTAAAACTCGATTCCTCCCATAACACAGGCCCACTGTGAGCGAGAACGCGCAGGCATGTGCTAAAACAATAAGCGCAACCCCAGTCGAACTCAGCTCCATTACAAATAACAGCGCTTGGATGTCATTCAGAGACTGCGCTCTTGAAATGTTATGAAAAATGCTGCCAGTGTCATCAATGTACTAACAGCCAAATTCACTCACACTGCCAGTTATAAACTACCTGCTAACTGATGTACAGTCCAATCCTAACGTTGTAACAAGCACTCTAGATAAACGCTACCCCATTTAGAGGTCCCCCTTAAACCCAATCCGCAGATTGTGTAGCCACCAACTTTTTTACCCATCTCCGTGTCCATCACTCTGTGGATTACTCTGTTCGATTATTTTAGCTACTAGTCCTGGAATGGGAAACATGACAATCTGTTAACAGAGGGTTTTTGTGATCATATCCAATTTCTTTACTCATCTTATATGTATTTGCACTTGATTTTTTTTTCTCGTCTGTCTTCACAAAAATGTGGCAGATATTGAGTATGCAAGAAGTAATGCATATGCATATGTTTGTTGTGTAAAAAAGAAAAACTATGAACAAAGTAGGCCTAGTAATTAATTTGACCTGATTAATCTAATTAACCCCCCTTATAGATTCTATAGATATCGCAATATATTGATATCGTGAAATCTTTTGGCCACAACAACCGTGGTGTGAAATCTAACATCGTGACAGCCGTAGTAGAAATGTTGAAAATGAATCGTGAAATACTAATTTGTATTTCATTACAACCAAGAAAGAAGATCAGTTTTGTAATTCCAGGTGTTTTCTGTGTGATTGCAGAGATTATTGTCCCTGTACAAACTGTCCTGCTCTACAGTAATGTGAAACACTCTTGTTTGAATAGGCTCGGAAAAACCGGGCACAGTTGCCAATAGCAACCCTTTCTACCCAGTGCTGTGCTCTGGGTTAATGATACGAGCACATGAGTGCTAGAGAACCTGCCACATGCAAAACTGTGTGAGCGGCTCAGGATCCATGTGTGGTCATCTGAGGTAGAGATTTGGATGAGAGCATCAGGTTGACTCCTGTAAATGGAAACAAAGGCAAAGGCTGATCCCTGGCAGAACTAAATTTTGGCCATGATGCTTCTGAGATTTCATTAACAAAAGCAAAATCACAGTGGAAGGCACTTGAAAGACTGTATTTAAGATAAGAATAAAAAGTATAATTGATGACAGTCTATACGACAATTCACCATGACGTCACAACAATAAAAGACGTTCTTCCGGGTGGCAAAAGCCGAAGCGTCCCTATGGCAACACTAGTAAATTGCATGGAGGGAGACACACCGCCGGCAGAAGCCTAATCTACATTTCAACAGTTGATTCAAGAACAGACGTGGTGGAAATTCAGACATACTGTAGTTAACATGATTATTAAAGCTTAGATTCTTTGATCTAGAGACGTGCACTCCCAACGCACTAGACCGCGGCGCGGGACTAGATCTTATGGCCGAGTGCGGGCGGTAATGTACTCTGTGTGTGCGGATTGGAGGAGAATAAAACGATTCGCGGGACTCCCGCAAACTAGAAATATCTATGAATAAAACAAATAAAAACTAATACATTTGTATTCATCTGTTGCAGAAAAGCAACAAGAACAACTAAAACAAAATAGACATGACTTACATGGCAGAGTTTCATTTTATAACGTGACTGCAGCGATGAGCGATGTAGCCAATCACAGACATATGTGTTGATTTATTGAACGCATTGGCCAATCAGAAGCATTTACGATGAAGAAGCATTTACTCACCGCTCAAAAGAAAGTAACATAGAAAGTAATAGAAATAACTAAGTTAGTTGAGAACGTCAGTTATATAACGACCCACGTATTAAAATGGTTGGGTTTAAATCGGGCTCAGGCTCATAATTAGAAGACGACATGCACTTTTGACGACATCCACTCGCTTTAACCTCACCCACAGGTTCTGCTGGATAGATTTACTTTTTTCTGAAGGAAATCGATAAAAAAAAACCTACACCTTTTGCTGTATATCTGGTGGCGCAACCCCAAACACAACATATTTTCGCCATAGATTCAACTTTGATCAACAACAATGATTTTAACTGTGTAACTGTTCAGTTGCCGGCTGGATCTCTTCAGTTAGTCAATGGAAGCCGCTCGCGTTCTGCCACCCGGAAGTATCGCGGTGCCTATTGTTTACAAACATTCTGAAATGCCCTATAGGTGCTTTGATATAAAGGCTCTTTTTTTTTTTTTTGCAAAACTCATGAAATTCACATTTGATCCTATCAAGGTTGGAGCTGGGATTACTGCAAGACACAAAAAAGTGTAGTGTTCACGGGTCCTTAATGTCTTAAATCTACCAGTTTAACAAAACCGACAACAAACAGTTTAGTCTTGCCTTATTCTTTGATGTCCTAAATCAGTTCCTAAAATTGATCATCATTGTCATCCCTCAAAGGTCATTTATATTAATTGCAAAGTTTTAGTAAGCATTTTTGTTAGTTGGTAATTCTTAAAGGTTTAGTTCACCCCGAAATTTAAAAAATTCTTGTCATTAAGCCTAAATTCAATGTTTTTATCATAAAGCAATCATTTCTCTTCAGAAAATTTGGTCGAAACTACTCTACTCTCCATTTCAAAATTTCAAATGGAAAACATTTGTAATATTATTAATGTGTTTACTAGGGATGTCCCGATACCACTTTTTCACTTCCGATACCGATACCGATGCCGCACCTTTGGCTTTTGCCGATACCGATATTAGTCCGATATTTTTTTTTTCGTGGTCCGACGTGCCGTATACGGCCCACAGGGTGGTTTATAGGTTTAACTTTGTGAAAGACAAAACAAAACAAACACAAAAGTAAACATAATACATATCTTTGGAAAGCTGAGAAACTCGTGATTCGAACGACGTAAACCATTTTAAGATACAATCAACACAGCGGGCACAATCTGTCTCTTTGTCAGACCACCAACAGCCAAAACAAACCAACACAAACTGGAAGAAACTCACCAATTAGCCATCTGTTAGTCCACATTCCAACAAAAATGGTTTGGTTTCACTGTAAAGCGTCCATACAATCCAATTTGAAGAAGTTTTTAGTCCAAAACAATTGTATATATGAATAAACATCCATGGAATGTAAATAGTAGCATTTCGCGTTAGCCGACAGCGCTATCACAACTTCGACGCACTAATGCTACGTTCACACCGGACGCGAATAGGGCGTCAGGCGCGAATGATTTCAATGTTAAGTCAATGCAAGAAAAATTCCTGCGGCGCGAATGAGGCGTGGAGCGCGGCGCGGAAGACGCGAATACGCCTCATCCGCGCGTCAAGTTGGCTGAACTTTGGCGTGAATTCGCGCCGCGTTAACCAATCAGGAGCCTAGCTGCTTGCTCACGTGGTGAAGTGTCTGGATGCTTCAATAAATTATTTTGTTAATATGACTAAATGCATGGTGGGATTATGCACAACAAAGCAAATGTTTCATCACTTAAAACATTATTTCTATATGGAGACATGTTCATTTTGTATTGAATGTTATTCATTCCATATCTAGAAATAGTATTATGTTGTAAAGACAATCAACATATGTGCATAAATTCGTGTCTGGACGTGAGAGAGAGAAAAAAATCACAGGACAGGTTAATAACTTTTGAAGGCTGGCTCTATTTATTATCAAAACAAAAATAAATGACAGCTAGATTAGATGGATGAGGGGCCGGGCGAGGGTGATCCTCGCTCAGATGCGGGACAACAGGTCATCAAACTGGGCGCGTGACAGGCGGAAGTACCGCTGACAGCGGCCGTCATCCAGCGCAGCTCCTGGAGCGAGCAAATGGTGAAACTCGCCAAACGGTTCGGCTCCGAAGGGTCCGGTGGACACAAATATACGGCGACGATGATCCCCACGCCGCTGTTCTGCTATCCAGAGTAAATACAGAGCGGTAACTCTCTTGATGAATGCTCGGTCGACATAAAAACAATGACCGCCAACGGATTTTGATTCTGACGCGCGTCACGCGCGTAAATTTCGCTTCAAACTTTCGCTCTTGACACGCAAAGCGAGAGTGATTCTCTGCGCGCGTGTGCGTAAACACAACAATCATCACGTGACAGGCTGCGCCGCTAAACTGGATATCGCTCATATTTTTTTCTCCCCTCCGATCTCCGATCTAGCGTTCTGGGCCGGTATCGGCGCGATACCGATGCCGTGGATCGGATCGGGACATCCCTAGTGTTTACTGTCACAGTTGGTCAATTTAATATGTGAATTAGAATTTTTTTTGAAGCATAGTATACATTAAGAATTGATTACAGTTCTATGATATAATTTACTGAATTCTGAATATCATATGTGAATTCAAGGCTAATGTTTTTTTTTGTTTTTTGTTTTCAAGTTGGGTTTTGTTTGTGTTTTTACGGACTGGTTGCCATAATTACTATTCATATACGTACACTAACTTTTCTCCTTGTTGTTTTCTGTCACGCTCAGAGGTCAGTGGCTCCTCGCTGTGGCTGTGAGCTGAACACTCAGTGTGTTATGTGCAGTGGATGTGCTCTCCCTCCTGCAGACACCCAGCATCAGCTCCCCCTGCTGGACAGACTGGCACAGTTCGACCCCTGCATTCACCCCATCCTCTCCTTTCCTGATGGTGAGGACGTGTACCCTGGCTCTTTGTTTCTTTCATTCTTTCCAAAATGCAAGCATGTACGTAGACACGGACAAAAACAGTGACTGCATCGCACATGACTAGCGTAGCTCTATCTATCCTCCACCTATCGTTTCCTTTTTGCCTCAAGGATGAATTTTAATAAGGATTTTCTTTTTACTGCATAATAATTAGGTGCTAATTAAAGTGTTAATTATTCTGGACACTTCTTAAAATAACCTGCAGGCTGCTCTGGGTTTGGAGCAGGTCATTGTTGTTTTTCGTGTCTGAGAATTCAGTAACATTTTGATTTGAAGAGCTGATCTTAGATCAGCAATCCTTCCCTTTGCTGGTCAGATTAGCTGATCATGTATTCATCTGCCTGACCTTAGCGGGGATAACCATTTTAAAGAGCAGTGCAACCTGACTCTGTTTAACTGTGCCAGTAGTGGCTAGCTTTATCAGACTAACTGAGACGGACGTATTTTCCCTCATTAATACGAGGCTGCTGTCCTCTCTAATCTGGCGTCTATTGTGCAAATGAATAATGGGCGTAGAGGCGGCAGGTGACACCACTGGTGAAACCCGAGTAGATGGAGGGAAATAGAAAGAGGAACCAAAGTATGATGAATTCTAGAAGCAAGCTCTAATTCGCGCTTCTGGAGAATTACACACATGAGTGGTACACTTTGTGTCACTGATTTAGATGTTTACAGACCATTAAGTCAGTCACTATTCACATTATTACAGTAGCCAAAGGATGAAAAGGCTTCTGAATGAGCTATGACAAATAGTTAGCAACTCCAGGTTGCAATGCACGTTTGTCCTTTGTCTCTCATTTTCGTTTTCATTTATACCTTTTTCTATTTAACTTTTCTTTATATCTTTATTTTTTTTAATCATTTTTTAAAAGTCATTTATTTCATTTTCTAAATCATTTTTATGTAAAGTAATTTGAATTACCACTGTTTAAGAAATGTTCTATATAAGTAAATTTGCCTAATGATAAAACGTATTCCTGACTTGAAAATCTGGAAAAATCCATTTGAGTGCGTGATGGATAAATGCAAATGTATATGTGCGTGTAACACAATCGGCACAAGTTTGTGTCTGACTCATAGCCTTTCCTGGTACCAATCCACCCTCTTTTTCCCAAAATTTTAATTTCTGGTCCATACATTTGGCTTCAATGTTTAAAAGAAGAAAAGTCAGCATGAATCTGTCACAACCCATTTTATCAATCTGATGTATTTAAAGTAAAACAGGATATTCAATAAAAAAAAAATGATGCAAGAATTGAAAATTAGAGGGCTTGAGGTCGACCAGGACTTTCAGGGGTGTAGAAAGTTATTACACTTAGGTCTAAGATTGAGGTCTCTGACTATGCAAAACCAAAATCAATGCAAAAATGCTGATTTTTTTTCTTTTCACAGATGTGATGATGAATCTCCATATGCAGCGTGTGCTGAAGGGACACTGGCAGAATCGTCCTCTGGAGAAGATCAAGCCCATCAAGAAGATCTCGCTCAAGCACAAGTTGTGTTTGGGTAGCCGCATCTCAGACCCTTCCTCCAAAGACAAACACAGGCTCGCCAACTCTCTGCTCTCCTCCACAGTCCGTAAGTGTGAAGAAAAAAAAAATACTGAAATATCTTATTTATTAGCCTTAAAAGACATTTTCTCCACTTTCATGAACATGAAAATACAAATGATATAGGAAATGCAGGTGGCTGCACATGAACCAAGGCTCTAGGACGCCTAGGCCACTGCTCTGGCGGTCTGCTAAATTATGAGAGAAAATTCCCTGCATCCTCAGTGTCTGAAATGTCAAGAGCCGAGTTTTCTCCAATGGAGGCAAATTCTTACACCTTTAGGAGAGTCTAAACTTAACAGCCCCTATTGGGCAGTTAACGTGACCTGTGAGTGTCTGGTCATCATTAGCTGCTCTCTGCAGTGACTCAGCAGTAATGTCTGGCATCATACAACTCCAGCCACGATTGCTTACACACACACACACACACACCCTCCCTCCCCTTTTATGGGTATGAATTATTGAAGATTTTGTGATCTGTAGCGTATAGTTGAATGGGTCACATGTAATATAAAGAAAGTACTATTATTGGTTATTGTGTATCATTTAATGCAATTTATTGTTTGAGATTTTGACATGACAATTATTTACATTAGTTACATAAAACAAAGATGACACATACTGACAAAGAAAGGATAACATTAAAGATTATAAATAAGACATTTTGAAAATGTAAATTAACAGTACAGATTAAATGAGAAGTTAAGGGTAAAAAAAAAGCCAATCAACAACAAAAAAGATATAAGCAAAGACAAAATATGTTGAGTAACTGAAAAGGGAATGTGGAAAGAAAATACATATTATAGATTAATGTAGTAATATAATGAGGTGGGAAATAAATATGTAAATAATAGTGCTGAACAAAAACAGTGTATCTCACACATAAAATATGTAAAATAACCCGAAAATACAGATAAAGATTAAAAAGTTAGAAAAACAAATGTAATGTATATATATGTGTAAAAATGAAAATTATTAAAATAAATTATACAATTTTTACACCTTTTTTACTGCTTTTCTTGTCAAATATTAATTTGATAAGTAATAAAATGTACCCCTTATTTCATTCTCTTCCTTTCATACTTGACTGTTTTTCTCTAATTTTCTCTTCCTGTTTGCTTTCTCTCAGGTTTGTCGCATCATAAGGTCCGCTCCGAGAAGGTGTCCCGGCAGCAGTTAGACATCCCGATGAGTGCCAGTAAACTTGACTCTCGCCAGCATTTCCGGCAGAGCAGTTCTTTTGACAGGAGCCACAGCCGCAAGAGACCTCGTGAACCCTCGCTGGACCGCACAGAAAGTACGTTCTTCATTACATTTTCCCTCTCATTCATTCATGGCAGTCTTGTTTGCTTTCGTCTCTCTTTTAATCATCATTGAGTTCAGTCCTTTAACACGCTTTAATTTTCTATAGATGCTACGAAGTTATATATGGATATGGGGAGTCCATGCCCATCGCTGTCCGCTTTCAACACACCCACCCACAGTCCCCTGATGAGACAGCCATCGATCTCCGAGACCTCCACACCCCTCCACTTCAACAGCAGCGCCTCTGTAAGATGCTCTTGAAAGCTTTCCATCTCTGATTGTGTGAACACATGAGAACCGAGTTACTTATGCATGTGTGTGACTCTTACAGACTATTCGAAGACGGAGAGGAGAGAGCCCTTTTGACATCAATAACATCGTCATCCCCATGTCTGTGGCCGCCACCACCCGAGTGGAGAAACTACAGTATAAAGAGATCCTTACCCCAAGGTCAGAGACACAAACTGAGTTTCCCGACCTGTTTATTAGCCACATGAATCTTCAAAGAGTTAATTGTTAATTAATTTGCCTTTTGCTTTTTAAATTGTAGTTGGCGAGAAGTGGATGTTTTTGCAAAACCAATAGCTGAAGAGGACGACGTAGTGGAGGTACGGCCATGCTGTTGGTCACCCAGCAGTTATTTTAGGCTGTCAAGACCGTAAGCCGCCTACCTAGACATTTAGGGTATTATAATAATAATAAATAATATAATAATAATAGTAATTATTAATAGTAATATTTAATACAATAAAATTTAAAAATGTAGTAATAATAGTAATAATTTATTATTATTATTATTATTAGGGTATTATAGGTTTGTTTCACTAAAATGCTTTCTTGACAGGCAGCTCAATTGGTTTTTTCAACTAAATGGCTGCAGATGTTACAATGAATGTGCAACACTAATTTAAAATCTAGACAGTCAGGAAAAATTGTGTTTCGTTATGCAGTTTCAATATATATTCTAACTAAAGTAATAGAGAACCATTTATTGTTAAGGAATTGAATTACTTAGGTCTTCTATTTGAAAACCAAATGACTTTTTCCTCATTTGAAATCGCTAAAAACCAAGCTATGAATATAATAAAAGTATTGGCAAAAACAAAATGGGGGCAGATCACATTGTTCTTTTGAGACTCTACAGAACACTAATCCCGTCTTGACTATGGAAGCATAATATATGACTCTGAGTCAAGCATCTGCTTCAATTATTTTCTGGCAGTACATCCTCAGGGCTTACGACTTCGCCAGTGCAAAGTTTGTATATTGAAGCCCGACAATTGAAGCTCTCACTTCAATATGCTGTCAAGATAAAGGCAAATAAAACCAATCTAGCCTTATTCTACGGTCTTTAACCCACAATTTACTACTAACTTGTATGAGAGCAAACCTAAAAGATCACATCCTTCGGTATTCTTATTAAACCACATTTGGAGATCTTAAATATAAATTTGATTATTTTAAACCAAAAACAATTTAATTCTATATCTCAGTGGAAATTAAAGCCTAATATCAATTTGGATTGACTCATCCAAATATATATATATTTAAACAGCAATATATTTGGACATTAGAAACCAATTTGAATTTGACCCAACTATATGCATGTTTTGTAAGATTCCCCTAACAATTAAACATATTTTTTTAGATTGTCCTGGACTTAATACAAGTAGAATGCTTTTTTTTTTTTTTTTTTTTTTAATGAAGTTACCTCACTTAAGGACTTATTTAGTAATAAGTGCTTACCTGAAGGGGAAACTGCAACACAGTGTCTGATTACTGATATAAAATAAAATCATTCGTTCTGAGTCAGACCTGAGCAGAATTCAGATTTGAAATGTTTTGTTGTAATACATTTATAATAGTAAAATAAACATTTAAATATTTGCATTCAATGAACTGAAGTGCTTCTAAACAACCTTCTCTATTAAGCAATTCTGTAATTTGTCGTTTATCTCCTAAAATGTTTCATTTTAGGACTACCTTTCATTTTTTTACAGCCTGAAGCCCTGAATACTATGTGACCTGGTGTATATATTAATAATCTTCTCTCATTCTCTCAGGTTGAGGATCTCTCTGACGCAACATTCTCTGAGCTTCACCTTCCGTATCAGGATCAGGAGCGCTCTCGCTGGAGTTGGACCGCCAGCAATGTCGCAATGAGAAGAGGCAGCAGGTGAGCGAACACCACTTGCACTGCTTTGCTCAGCCCTTTTAAGGGATAGGTGTGATTTCTCCTGGTTAACAACTTTGCCACTGTGGCTGAGCGTTGAGTTTTGCACTTTCATGATGGCAGATGAGGTGCAAAAAATGAAAACCGTCAGTTTTAAATAAATGCGAGAGATAATAAATGCAGTGAATAATGACACCAGGCTGTTAACTTGCATCAACATGTTATAATGAGAAGTTATTTAAGCAATAAACATTACACTGATTTCACCACTGCCGCACTGTTCGTTACATGATAATCAGCACCGGTCTTTTTTTTCCACAGGTCGTACAAGTCTGTGGACGGACGGACAACCCCCTTGCTTTGCGGCACCAACCCCTCCACGCCGCAGCCCTCATCTCCAGACACGGCGCCTTTCCACCTGCTGCACGAGTACAGCTCAGTGGCGTCTCCCTCCAGCCCCGTCAGCCCGGAGATGCTGATGCTGTCCAGCCTGTACACGCCTGGCTCCAGAGACTCCCACCGGATGCTGTCCAATGAGGACACGCGCTCCTCCACCCCAGATACCTGCGAGGAAATGGTAGGCCCCCATGGTTATTTAAATAATCAGTTATTAAATATGTCAATTTAGTTTTAATTAATTAAAGTCCCCGTGAAATCAAAATTGAACCTATTTACTTTGTTAGCGCATATTACTAGTCTTGTGGTGAACAATTAACAATTAAATATATATTAAAAAAATGTTTTACCTTGGTAATCTTTAATCAAAATCTGAAAAGTTACTTCCGGTCTGGAACGGTTGATGACGTAGGTTTCACAGTTTGGGTGGGGAAACGCTTAACCACTCCCCTCAAACCGTTAGTTTGCTATGAGCGAGAGATGGAGAGGAGGAGCGCTAGAGTAAAACCCTGCCCTCTGTTCAATATTCCGTTTCACTGGAAATACGTCACAGCACGGGAGAAAAATCGTTTGCAACTTCCGGTTCACGGGGACTTTAAACATATTGATTACACTATACCATCTATGTATTAAATAAAAAAATGAAAAAGTTATTATGGCTACATGAACATTTCTGATTCAATGGCTAATGCCAAATTTTAACAGTCTCGCAATGTTTTTGTTTTAAAGTTATAGAAATGTTATTGTGTTTGTTTGTTTGTTTTGTTTTCAAATATGAACGCAAAAGAATATATATATTTGTCAAAGTTTCCATTCACCACTATTGAGGTTTACCCAACTATGACAACTTGCACTTCTGAGAACCCCGGAAATGTGAAAAGGGTCCATTATTGAATTTGGCTAGTGCTCCAATATAAACTAGAGGCTTTATTGTATGTTCAATTTCACACATGCTCAGTTGTACATCACTTCAAGTCAGTTACAATAAAGGTTTTTTTTTTGCCCTTTTGTGCAGTTTTCGTCAATTTTTTGTGCAGATATTTACTTAGTCTGTCTCTGTTTGTCCCTACGGGCTCCTCAGCCGGTACAGCCATGGGAACTCCGGACCTTCCCACTGGACGTGGACCCGCAACAAGAGTGCGAAATTCATGTCAGTCCGGCTGGCGAGAGGCCCTGTAGGACTGTTCGACGTGTGTCCGGCAGCAGGACTTCCAAGTCGGAGTCCGACGCAGGGCCTTCGTCACCTCTGGGCGATGACTGCCCCAAGCAGCAACAAACCAACCCACCCAAACCTACTCACCGATGAAGCCTAGACTCTGCCCACCCACCAGCTTTCAGAAACTCCTGGAACAGCAGCAACGTAGACGGAAAGAAAACCAACAAAACAAATGAAAGTCCCTGTTGTTTGATATTCAAACATCAGTAAATTCTTTCACAGTTTTTAGTGAATTGTATGGCGATATATATATATATATATATAGAGAGAGAGAGAGACCTGTTTTAATTTAGTCTTTCTTTTGGGTCACTGGAGGACAAGAATGTTTAGGAAGAGAAATACAATTAAAAGAAAAAGAGATTAGCTTAAGTGCTAAACCAAAATAAGCAGCTCCGACACGTATATCGTAATAACGCAGAAGAGCACTTCCCCCTTAGCATGCTGTCGTACTGAGGGGCTCAGCTTGCATTGTGTGTGCTTCTCTTCCAGAAGTTTTCCAAAATCCCACCTAAAATTACTTGTTCGGCCTTGCAGTTTATACTGGAGTGATAAAACGCAAAAATAAAGCCAATAATAATGATTACAAAAGACTTGCACGAAGACGCCAATGCTTGTCTTGGTTCTCTCAGTGAAAGCACTTCATTTTAAAATCTTTCCACGTTCCCTTTTTTTGTTTTGAACAGAAACTTTTCCTTGCATAAATCCTAATTTCTGGTTCATTTTTTTGTCCTGTGTTCTCTTGTATACCATGGTCCGTATGTGCCCCATTTCTGTCAAAAGTGACGGAGATAGCAGGTGCCTTCATCGCAGCCAGGAAATGAAACTGCCACGTTGCTCTAATGCGCTTTTTAAACGCCACCAAGTCTGATTAGAGCACTTAATTGGTCTCTTTTGCATGACACTATTTCCAGGAACCCTACAATCAGCACCCGAATAAACGTGCACAAGGCCGCTGATATTGGAGACTCGACTGCTTTAAGCATCGGGGAAAGTCCCTTCTCATGTGGGCTTGGGTTAGTGTGAGTTTTAAAGCACTTGGCGGTACTGTGCATGACCAGATTAGTCCAAAGAACATGCAGTCACTCCAATATAAACTGAAACTTCCTGCCTTGTTTCCCTTTTAACATGGTTCCTCCTTTTATGTCCCAACCCCGTGGAAAAGAGCTCTTCCATTGATTGGTCAGGTCTGAACTCTGTCTTCGTTTAATACAACAATCTTAAGCCATCATCAAATCCCATAACTTTGATTTATGAGGAGTCATAGCATTAGCTGGAGTACTTGACGAGAGAGGATTTGGCAAAATTTCATTCGTTGGCTCCTCGGTTGCTGTCGGTCACAGCCCCGTGTTTTTTGTTTTTTTTTTCATTGTGTAACAACGAGGAACGATTTCTGTTAGTTCCCTGTCAGTGAGTCACTGCTTGCAGCTCCTTCCTGTTATTTTAACTAATACGAATGTAATAAAGTCTAATAGTGGACACCAGTTACTTACAAATTTTATAAGTAGCTTCTCTGTATCTGTTGTCACACGAATCTAGCTATTGTAGCCATTTGATCTTGTTTAAGGGATGTCATGTAAACCAGAAATCCTTAATATATTCCTTTTATCTCACTGGAGCATAACAGCATTCATAGTGTCAGAGAAATCTCTTCTTTTGAGGTTGTGGGGCAAATTGTAAGGGGACCATCAACGACTGTCCCATTTCCTGCTGAGAAACCCGCCGCCCCTTTCATTCTTAATATCATTAATTATGGTTTAATGTCTCTCTCTGTGGGGGTCTGTGTACTTATCAGGCAAATGTACCATAAGGTTTGACTAGCTTTCAAAAGCCAATATTGTATCGTGTGAGTTATTTTCATACTTTGAATTTCCAATGTGGTGAATGAGGGTTGGGTGAGTCTGGTATATCCTTTAGCATGTAATAGTTTGTACAAAACAACAACAAAAAAAAGTTTATTTTGTACATACCTTGTTTGATTCTTTACTGTGTTTGATGTTCAGGCTGTAGCTGTCCTGATTGTCTAGGGAGAAGACGCGTGAGAATATTTAACACTTTCTTTATGCAGAGGCAACAAGAAAGAAAAAAAAGTTTATGGATGATTGGCCGATCGGACAGACAGGCAACGTTTGTGCTTCTCAAATTAAAAGTGAATTATATTGTACTCAAATGTCTTCTGTCGTTCTGTAGTACTAGGGAAATGTTTTCATCAAGGTAATAAGCAAGATTATTCATTACTGGAATCTGCTGGATCATTAAGGATTTCGATTGGACTTTCCATTATGTTTTATGTATTTATATAACGTTAAACCTCTTTATTTGTTTAAGAATGTTCGAGGACAATGAAGAAAGTTAGGTTACTCATGATATGTGCACTGAACTTTTATTATGTATTCCGCAGATTACTGGATAAAGGGCCACTCGAGTAAAACTATCAGAAACTGTTGAAGGAAGCTACAGTAAAGACAACTAATTAATGGGATAAAAGATTTTTTATTTTTTTTTTTTAAATTACTGCAGAAATTCAATGCACTTTATGCAACTGTTTAGCATGATTTAATCTAAAACAATGTTTAGATGAAAATGATTCCAGATATTATTGGTGATTTTACTTTTATGGAATATTTTGGCAAATGTTGATCTTTGCCACTTTCAAATAGGTAGTTGAGCTGTACTTTCAGGACTTCATGGACATTGCTGGGCCTAGCGACTTTGAAGGTGCTCAGTTGGAAAGGTACACATCTAATTCTTCATTATACTGACTCCTAGTGGCAATAATGCAGTGTGTCAAGCAAGAATGTGCTCCTGAGCTAATCGTCTGGTCACGCGATGCTCAATGATGTTAACCCCTTCGGATCCTGCGTTCATTGGAATGGACCACGTGTTTTGTTTGTGAAAAACTTGGTGCAGCGATTACGTCTGAGCTCTCGAGATTTTTCTAGTTTTTTATTAGTAAAATAAAGCCTGTTACAGTGTACAAATTACACACACCCATACTGAAAATTAGAAATACATATTCAATGTAATAAGATGAGCGTTAACATCCAATCAACTTCGAAGTTTAAGTCATTTCAACTTAATTACATTTAATTATCTTTTTTTTAAATAGTTGGATCTTGTTTAACTTTAAAAAGTTGAACACTTGTTTTGATAAGCAATGAAAAAACAATGTCATAACTTATTGATCATATTTTTTTTTTCAGGGTGAGTGTGTATATATATACATGGATGTATTTAGAATAATTTTACTATGAAGAGGATTCTTAAATTATTATAAATTCATCCAATTAGGTATTTAAAAAAAAATCACGTCTAGTAGGTTAAAGTTTTCAAAATGCTATTTTTATCTGTCACCAGCATTTTTTTAAGTTGCCGCCTGCGTTTTTGATGTTTCACAAAAAAAAAAAAAATGTATGAATATCTCAAGAACAGCCTTTTTATAAAGAGATTAAAACAAAACGTTTTTCAAAGACTACAGCGTGCACAAACCAATGCTTTTACCGCCTGTTTTCTCCTTTTCCTTGTTTAGACCCAGACCACAGACATCATATAGGTATCGTATCGATGACCCAGACTGTGTACTCCTCCAGAAGATCCGTATTAGCGGAGCGCTATAACAGTAAAAAAAAACACGGAAAGCAGGAAAAGTCTGTGGCAGGGAGGCAATAGTTAATGCTATGTTAATATTTTTAATGAAGTAAAATTACATTTCCTCCAGATAAACCTGCCAACCCATTTTCCTGATATAATTATTATTTATCTCTCAGTGAGGTGTAAGTTACTTCAGGCAAGTGTACAACAGTCTGACCAGCTTTCAAAAGCCAGTATTTTATTGTGCGAGTAAAGAAAGGGCACATAAAGCAGTTTAATACGACCTTTATTTCCAAATTCACGTTTACAGCAAGGAGTATCAGTGTAAACCAATTAATAAAACACATTACGATAAGGACGGTCACAACTGTCAAGCTAGAATGGAGAATGCGATAAGAAGAGCAGAGGCGGGAAATGAAACGGAGGAGAGCGAGAGACCTCAGAACTGGTTAACAGATCACAGAACCGTTTGAAAACACATCTAAAGGTTAGAATTACCAAGAAGGCATTATCCTGTGCCATTTTTAAACATTTCATCTGATAAGTCTGTTCTCCAGCTTAACCCACATGTGTAAATGCTCAGGTTTATGTTAGCAGCATGCTGTTAAGAGGATGCAGCACAGGGTCATGTGGCACTAGGCAAGACTTTTACTTGGATTCTGAATGCAAATTTACCCCTATTTGAATATTTATTTTAAATGCAAGATATAGATCTTAATGAGTAATGTAGTTTGAGGCAGCTCAATATGTCTTGTCAATTCAGTGCATTCACTTTCAAATTAGCATAAAGTTACAATGCACTGCAGATATTTAATAAAAAGCTTAGTGACAGATCATTCGAACATTTTACATCGTCCACACAATAATATTAGAAAAAAAGAGTGCAACATAAACCTGGATTTTAGCAGGTAGCTTTGTTCCTTTCATCTTCCTCCAGTTTTTTTTTTTTTTTCTTTTCATGTTTTAAGACTAGTTAAACGCTTTTAAAGTCTAGTAAAGGTAGTTATCTAAACAGCTGGACAGGGATGTGGTGACTGTGGCTACTATATTCAAAAAGACCATGGATGAAGTCTATTGCATGCTGGGAATGTGCAGCGTGTGAGCATTGTGGTTTGTTTTGAAGGCTTTAATACTGAGGGAAGCTTGGCTATGTTTTAAATGTCCTGCGTCGTATTTCAGACCAAATGAATCGGCCCTGTGCGCTGTAAATGACTGAATCTGTCTTAAACCAAAGAGAATCTTTAAAACATTGCCAGTTTTGTGAAATGTAGCTGATGGACACTGGGGAGGCACTGTCAGCTGTCTGTTCTCAATGCCAGATTTCCTGGAATGAATGTTGTCACAGATATTTTGAGTGATTTGAAATCCTCTTGGTCCATTCACAAATTCTTTGGAATAGCATTTTATACACAGAAGCTGAAATCCACCAATATAAGAGGATAGTGACCATACAGGGAGGATTGGGTCATGAAAAACCGAGTGATTCCAGTTAGATGGTGCTTGTGCAGGAAAAAAACTACTTCAGAGCTCAACTATAAGGATGACATGGTCGTCTGCGAATGGAATTTCAAGAAATTGTCGCATCTTATATTCAGTGTCATATCTTTTTTTTATCATAATCATTTTTTTTTTTGCCTTTGTAAGAAAAATTAAGTAAAATGCAATAGTAGATAATGCGTCGGTTTTGCACTGCATGTAATTCATCAATTATTTGCTTTAAATAGTTAAAAAAAAACTCAAATTATCCTTATTGTTGAGCCCTGTACAGCTTTTAGTTCAACGTTTTGTATGATTTTGTAATATGACATTTGCTTTCTTTTCTGTCAATAGAGTCGCTAGAGGCCGAGCAAGACGATTTCCTTCAGCGATGCAACTTCCTGTGCACATCATCAGGACAGATGGGCCTGGATAATATGCTGAGGTGAAGTATGTAGTTTTGAAGAATAAGCAAAGTCTGGTACCAACATTGCGCTTTTATAAAATGAATTTAACCGCTTTGAATGACTGTAACATTCACTATAGTGGCCTCTAACCAATTGTATTTAAATAATTACATAGCAGGCCTCTATTGTTCTTAAATTTGTGTCCTTTACAGCCAAATTGCCTCAAGTTTTACCAAAGAGCGTTTGAAATGTTCACTTCCTGTCAAACTCACAGCCATTATCATTAACCGCACCCTCCAAACCATGTAGCGTGTTTGCCTTCCTTACTGCTGCATGTCAAAGCAGGAGTGCATAAGTTATGGTAAAGAAAAACATTCACAATAAGGCAACGAAGCAAATACAACTTTGAAAGCAAATGCCATTGTTGTTTCTTTCAAAAAACGGGGCATTAAATGAAACACATCAGGCTACTCAGTGCTGTAAATGACCATTTGGATCAATACACCACCTTTTAAATTGAATTTTTTTTTTTCTTTTGATGACATTAAGCCAATGACATTAATACCCGTCCCTCTGTGCCAACAGGCAAAAATTATTTCACAAGCAGACGAGCTGCTGGGACAACCTTTAGTTAGGAGAAATCCGACAAGCACCTTATTTGAAAGGACTGAAGGAGGTACATTTTTTAAAATCAGTTGATTTGTCAATCGCCGCTCACAGGCCTTGTTTAGCGAGGGAGGCCGACACCTGGTCAGCTAGCGTGGACAGTTGTGGGGAGTCGGTCATGTTGATGCTGCCGGAGGAAGACACATTGCTGAGGCGGCGGGGCGATCCGTCCGCGGAAATGGTGGGGGACTGATACACGATCTCAGCGCCGTGGTCGGTGCGCGCTTTGGCTTGCTCTCGGAAATTTAGCTTGTGGCTCTCAATCTGATGGGAGGAAGGGTAGAATCTGGATTAAGTAGGATGGATATGAACAATTAACATGCATGACATAAAATAAAGCTAAAGTGTCTTGTTTGTGGTCAGTAAAAAATGTATTTATATTTGAATATATTTGATAATAAATACAGTAAACGCATTACAATTTAAGATTCATGTTTGTTATTTTATTTATTCCTGTGATGGCAAAGCTGTCATTATTCCTATGAGTCATATGATCTGGTGATTTAGTGCTTAAAATACATTTATTATTATTATAATCAAAGTTAGTATTCTTTGATCTTTAAAAAAAGAGCATTTATGTGAAATAGAAATCTTTTATAACATGCCATTTGATCAATTTGACAGGGTGGTGATGGCGCAGTGGATAAGACACATGCCTTTGGTGTGAGAGACCCGGGTTCGAGACGTCACACCAATGTGTCCCTAAGCAAGACACTTAACCCCTAGTTGCTCCAGAGGCGTACAACCTCTGACATATATAGCAATTGTAAGTCGCTTTGGATAAAAGCGTCAGCTAAATGAATAAATGTTAATGTGTCCATCCTGAATAAAGATATCACTTTCTTTAAAAGTAAAAGAAAAAACAACTCTTAATGAAAGGTAGTCTGTCTGTTAATTTGTTTGCAGAGACAGCTGAAACTGTAAGGCTGCCCTCTAGTGGACCGACTGTACCTGGACAACTTGATGCAATACGGTAAGCGGTCTTGTATAATTATTATATTTAATATAAACCTGCACCACTAGTCTTCTTATAAGGATGTGTATATGCCTTTTGCATCCATAACATGAAAGGGTTTCAGAAATGTACCAAAATATGGTGATTGATTGAAAAGTAAATGCACAATTGAACTGAAATAATACAGTGCTCAAGAAATTATCACTAGCACAGAAGGACCATGTAATGGTGACATGTCAGTTAAATTGACACTTCATAATTCTAATAATATACTTACTGAGGCTCTCTGACTTAAACCAGACTGTTCCCTTCAGTGGAGGGAAGGTCAAAGGTCATGTCCACATCATTAGAGTGAACAGCATCCCCATTAGAGGACGCTTTTGCGGCCTGCGGCTCTGCTTCCTTCCCCTTCTCACTCTACAGTTCACAGAGTTATGGGTAAACAAAACAAATTATTGAGGGGTTGGGATACAACTTATGAAATGAGGTTATGGAAGCAAAAAAAAACACTCACGCTATAAAAAAAAACCACAGGGAATGCTGGGAGAAGGGATGAAGTTGTCTTAATATTTACTATATTTACTTAAATATTTCCAAGTAAGAGTGCTGAGCTGTCTTCCGTACAGTATATGACAATATATGAATTTTAGAAAAAGTTTAATCTGAGACCAGTTCCATAATTTTATAAAGGCTTATTAACTTGGTACTTTGTTTTGATGGTCCACTTTAGACATTCTACTAACTATAATGAGAAGAAGTTGACATGTACATGCAGTTACTTATATTCAGTACAATGTCTGTTGGAGGAGCATCACAATAAAGAGTTAGCAGATATAAAGCAGACTATGAGAGTTAGTTGGCATGTAGTTGCAGTTACTTGGAATGTCTAAGTTAGTAGAGTTAGTAGAATGTCTAAAGTGGACCATCGAAATAGTGTAACCATTAACTTTTATCTGCTGGAAATAGTTCTTAGATCAGAACTCCTAAACGATGAACATGAAAGCAGCACTCAGCCAGCAGTTTTAGGTTACGTGTGATAAAAACAGACACCGAAGCAGAGAATTACTGCATGGAAAAATAGTGAGCACTAGAAAGTGTAGTGATCTTGAAAATGACTGAAAATATGTTCAGTAGAGAGAGAAGATGAAGGAGAGCAAGATGCCCAGATGCTTTTTTATCATCCAGTAGATCCTGTGCTGTACTTTTATTTCATTTGTTACATATATAAAATCAACTTTATTCATTGATTATGTAAAACTATATGTAATTCGTTAGAACCTATATTAATGCAAACGATACCTTTTATAGGCTTCATTTTGTGTTGTGATGACTAAATTAATTCAGATTTAACGATGTAAGTTTTCGTAAAGCTGCAAATATTTTCAATTAAGGAGCAGTTCATCATTTCCTCACTGTTATATCATGTGATTTTTCTCTCTTTGGAACACACAAGGAGTAATTCTGCGTGTTTGGCTGCTTTTGAAGCCCAACAGGCCCCATTTATGTTCATTAAATGGAGTAGAGCAGCCAGAACATTGGGATAAATGTCTCCTTTTGTGTTCCACAGAAGACAAAGTCATGCAGGTTTGGAATAACGTGAGGTAAGTAAATGATGACAGAATGTTACATTTTGGATAAAATAAACATTTAAATAGATAATGGGCCATGGGATAATAAATAACAGTTGCTAATAATAGATTAGGTGCTTTTGCAACCTTGCATTCTGTAACCTTGCATTTTTATTAAAAACAGTTGATCTAAAGGGCAACTCAAAGAAGTTGGCAAAAATCTGTGCAAAAGAAGTACATTGAAGTCTGCCAAACAGGAGGAAGCATGCTGACCATAGCAAGATCTAACATGAAGGAGAGTAGTGCAGATAAAAGTCAAACTGCATCATGAAACATTGTCTAATGCATTGTAATATTATTGTGAATTAATTCTACATCTATAGTACAAATAATTCAACACATTATTGCACATTTGTGACTACTTTGAGACTTATTGCGCTTAATAAAGTCAAGAGCATACCCTTTTCTGTCCACCACGAGGAACATGTCCAATGTTCTCCAGAGATCCAACCTTTGACTGGGCTTTGAAATCCAACTTCTCAGATTTGATCTCCACATTTCCACCTCCTAAAATACAGATAAAAGTGTAAAACATCTGTAGAAATCTTGAAACAAATAATAATGCCATTAGTCAAATTGAAATTTAAAAGAAATGATATTTTATAGTATTCTATACAGTGATAAAAGTTATGTCGATTGGCATTGCATTATAAATATACATTATCCTTATGAAAATAACAAAGATGTATTAAAGAACACAGATAAACCATAATACTGTTGCATGGTGTGTAAATTCTCTTTTAAAAAATCTGAATTTTATTCTGCTACAATATCTTTGTCCACATTATGGATTTCCTGGATTGTCCCAAAGTCCTTTTAGGCAAGTCGTGCCACTCGGCCACCATCTTGGCAACGCCTCCAGGCAGCTATTTCGGACTAACAAGACCAGGCTCCTATCTAAATGAATGTGCAGAGAGTCAGAACTGCACTTTCACTGGTCACAGGGACATAAAAACTGTATAGAAACAGCAGTAAAATATGATAAAAAATCGCTGAAAAAGTTTGACGACTTTGCCCCAAAATGTATAGGTTTATTTATAGGTTTAAAATGCCCTTCTCCCCACAGGTTATACTTTTACTACGCATGCGCAAGGGTTCTCGGCGTCAGTCGAACCAGACGATAGGCTTAAATGTTTCCCGACTTGACTGTTAAAAGCAGACGATTGGCTTTCCAATGGGAGGGGCGGGGCATGTGCATACAACCGGCATCTTTGGTGTTACAAGTTTTCCCTATAAAGTTGTATAGAGAATTTAGGAAGTGGCATGTCTCTTTATAAATTGTCTCTGATTGTCCTAAATTTTATTCCTCTAATTGGTCTCACTTGTGGACTTTCTGCACGAGGGCACCCTCCAAAGTCGAGTATGGTTGACACATAATTGCATGTGAGAGTTTAGCGCTCCATAATGCTCACATCGTCCTATTTTGGGTAAAAATTGTAAAAATACTGCTCTCTAAAGATATTTTAAGAAAACATACAATAATTCACATGTTTTTATCTGAATGAGCACAGTTTTGGACTAAAAGCCCAGAGGGATGTAAAACATAGAAAGGCATCACCAGTTAACAGCTGAAATATGTTTAATTTGAAATATTGTAACACCCATAATTAACACTATAATGATATTATTTTTTAATTATCACAGATATCGTCAATATCGCGAGTCGTGACACCCCTAATCTGACTGAAATCATACCCGGTTTGTGACGAATGTTGTCCTTGGAGCCGCACTTTGCTTGGACGTTGCTTAGGTCGATCTTTTTGTGCACTATCTGAACCTGAAGCATGAGAAACATATAAGAGTCAGTTATCAACCAGAACAATTTAGGAGGGAATGAACCGCATGCTCAGGCACCTGAGGAGCTGATGATATAGAGTAGGAAAATAGTCGTCAATCACATCAGCAGGGTTCATGGGACAGAGAAGAAGGCCACCACAAAATGTGGTGATTACTTTCTATCTGAAAGCGTCATTGAGGGCATTTACACTTGGTCTTTTCATGATCAGATGTAAAAATGTGTAAGGTTCAAAACTGAAAAAAATGTCCCCGCTGTCCCAGATGCAGACTTGCCAAGTCAGAAAAGAGATTCACTCAATGTATGCATCACTCATAGAGTTACAGAGGGAAGAGGACGTAATGCAAAAACATGTTATATCTGATTGAAGACAAAATTCAGATATAACTACATTTACATCTGAAGGCAATTCCAGTGCTTGTAAGGCAAGAAAACAACATTTTTGGTAAAATGATCCTGAGAGGGAAAAAAGAAAAGTAGCATACCCAAGGATGAAATGATTAAGTCCTTAAGTCAAAAAGAATTGCAAAAAAAGTGTGAGTAGAAATGGGGGATTTGAATATGCTTTGCAAGCACTGTAACGCACATGCTCAGATTCAAGCAGTCAAGTTAAGATCCATATCCCTTGGAGTTTATTCTGTATACCTGACTACCTGAGACCACTAACAATCTTCACCATGCATGCAAACTGCAAACATCTGCAATGCAGCAACACTAGTCAGCAATCCAGGTGCATCACATGAAGGAACCGAAAAGAACCAAATGCATTGCCTGTGAAGGAATGCTGCAGCCCTGAACTAGATAAACCTTCATGAAACTCTGGCTTCTAAAAGCACAGCTCGTAGCTAAAGCCATCAGAGTCTGTTCACATTGTAATGGTTTATTTTAGTAGTGACCTTTTGCAGACATGATCAAAACAAGATATATATATTGTAATTGTGAATGTCTAGGCTTTGTAGTACAATTTTAAAAATAGTCTTTTGTCTAATCTCTTAATCTAATTTATTCTAACAGTTTAAAAATAGAAACAATTAACACTGTCTTTTTGACAGTGTGAGTGTCTGGAAGATAATGCTTGACTTGTTGATGGAGAGCTACTTAAAAGCTTTGACTGTGTAATGGGTATTTGTGTCAAAGTTTCATTAGTTACAAGAGGTGAAAATTAGCATTGAATGTGCAGAACTGTCTGAGAGATTAACATACTTTAAACTGCTAGAAACATTTTGTCAGTGGAGGAGCCTGTTTTCAATCAGAAACGCAGCTGTAATATAATGCTATATTTGTTTTTTCTTCTCTTTATCATTTTCTACATTATTTTACAACTATATCTAGTGTTAACGGCTTCTAACTACACTATTTGTCTGATCGAGTTCTAACCCTACCAGTTTACTCACATTACCACCCCCAGGAATATGCTTGATATTGTCTTTGGATCCACATCTAGACTGAACATTAGACAAGTCGATCTTCTTATGAACAATATCCACCTGGAAAAGTCAAGTCAACCTTTATTTTTATAGCACATTTAAAAACAACAGAAGTTGACCAGAAAGTGCTTTACAGATCAAGCAAGAATAAATAAACGCATTTAAATACAACATTATGCATTCTATCAGCTTGAAAAACCCATTTCACGATCTATTCAAAAGCCAAAGAAAACAGATATGGTTTTAAAGAAGACTTAAAAATGGCTAGCGATGAAGATGACCTCACATGAAAAGAAAAACTATTCCAAAATTTCGGACCCTTCAACGAAAAGGCACGATCACCCTTTTTGCCGATTTATAACGGCAAAGGAACCGTCGATAGCAGTTGGTCAGAAGACCTGAATGCTATAGTTGGACATTAAGGAAGTAAAAGGTCACTAATATATTTGGGTGCGAGACCAAATAGTGCCCTGTAAACAAACTTTTAACAAAATTTTAAAATCCACCCTGAATTTCACCCGGAGCCAGTATGGCGATACCAAAACTGGGGAAATAAGATCCCTTTTTCTTAATCCTGTTAACAGCCTGATGGGATAATGCAGTTTGGGGCAGACCACTATACAAGAATATCATTTGTGAACTTCAATAATGCAGATGGAAACATCTGAAACCAGACAGAAATGTATCCAAAATGTTAAATCTATTTAGATAGGACCAGTTTTCTTCTCTGTTGATGTTCTTTCAATTTGCAATCAACTTTCCCCAACATGGATGAGCCTTATTGGATTTTCAGTCAAGTATTTTCTAGAAGATACTAGAATATACATTAAACATTTCCTCTCAAATATCTGTGATGATTGGCCTACTTCCAATTCAGTCTTTTAATTCCACACTATATGCGTCCCAACCAGCTGCTTTTGTTTCACATTCCAGATAATTGATTTTAACAGTAAAAAAACATGTTGTCAAACATGCAAAATAAATTTACCTTCCCGCCTCCAGGTTGGTGTTTGATGTTCTCAGTGGAGCCGATCTTGGACTTGACGTTCTTCAGGTCAGGCATAGGTGCAACAGGAGCGATCGGGGCACGAGATCTCAATGAACCAGGTGATTTTGGAGGGGTGCGCACCACCGCTACTTTCTTCACCTGCTGTCCAGGGGTGGAGGACCGACTGGCCGGGCTGCTGCAACCACTACGGTCTGGGGTTTTAGGCGAGTCAGCTGATGGTGGAAAACAACAAGACCAAAATATTTTCTTCTGTTTTTGCTCTTCTGATTTTTTTTTTTTTTTTTACTCTGTAGTTAATTAACCTAAAGGAAAAGTTTTCAACTTCCAGATTTTCTTTGGAATGTTAATATGTAATAGCTTTCATTATTTTATTTTTGTATAATTATTTTTTATTTTACAGGTACTGTAAGTCATTAAGAACAAGTTCTTATTTATATTAGCAGTAATGTACTGTATTTATTATAGCCCCATTTCCTTTCCCGGCCACTTAGGGAAAGGAAATGGGGCTAAAATAAATACAGTACATTAGAAATAAATACAGGTTAACAATTACATCAATTTAAAAACAACACAGTAGACAACACAACATGATTATGTAGAGAAGAAACTGCATGTGTCCATGAACAACGATGATATAATAGTTTTAAACAATGAAATTAAAATTAGTGTATCTAGTTTGAGAATATTTTGCAGAGCATTCCAGTTGCGAGCGACAACAGATTGAAAAGAAGCTAGACTAAATGCAGAGTTGAAGACGAAGTGAGGACCGGGAGTTGTATGTGACCGGCTTTGGCCGCAGCAGGTGATTCAAGTAAGGAGGTGAGTGGCCGAGAAGGGTCTTATAAATAAAAATAAACCCATGTGGAATTAAGGTTTGTGGAGGTTTTTTTTTTTTTTTATTTCAGCAGTGCAGATTTTTGGCGGGACCAACAGTATTTTACAGTAAAACCTTTGATTGGCTTTTTCACCTCTTTCAATGGACCCTGGCCCTGTCCTTCGCTGCTCCATCCGTGAAGCAGCTGTATTTCACAAATCAAAGTGGTACAAATCAGTCACATAAATGCTCTATAAATAGAGAATCATTCCCTTGGGGTTTCCCCAACCCATTTCTAATAGGAAAATATTCTGTACTTCCTGAACACGAGTTATTAAAGGGTTAGTTATGTGATCATTTACTCTCACTTACATTGTTCCCAATATTTTGAAGAATGTTGGTAACCAGACAGTTGATGTAGCCGTTGAATTTTATAGTAAGAAAGAAAAAATACTATGGGAATGGCTACCGTCAACTGTCTGGTTACCAACATTTTATATATATATATATATATATATTTCTGTTCAACAGAAGAAAGAAAATCATACAGGTTTGAAAAAACATAAGGGTGAGTAAATGAAGACCTTATTTCCCTTAAGTGGTGCACAAAGAAATGATGGGAAAGTGAGCTGACTTTTGCAGTTTGCCATGCAGTGAATACACTGACCCACATATACTTGCTTATGAATTTATAATTAGTGCACTTTTGTTTGCATACAGCTGTACTAAATGTGGATTGGGCTTATGCCATGGGAGAATGCCTTAAAAAAAAGCTACATTAGTTATAAATTGAAAGTGCTTAGCTCACATAATAACATTTTTTGGTTTCCCTCTCAAACTGTCAGTAAGGGGAATTAAATGTTGAGTCACCAACATTTAAAGTTGGGGACCTTGAAAGATGCATCTAAATATCCCTTACCAGACATTTTGATGGCAACTCCTTGGGGTTTGGCACCCACAGTCTTCGTCTTGGCATCTCCAGCCTAAATATGGACAATTAAAGCAAGAATCGGCTAATAGTAAATCTCTTACTTTTTATATCACAATTCAAATGCAATAATACACCAAAGCATGACAGTAAAATACATTCATTAACTTTTCTTTCTGTTCTGGTAAAAAGGATGTTGACATTGTGAAAGTGTCTCAGGTGTTGTAAATTGAATCGGCTTGTGTGTTCGGACCTTAATGTTGTAAATGTACATAAACAACCCAACTGATATAGGCTTTTTCTTGCAGAATAAAAGCTCTTGGCCGATGTTTAGGGATGGGCGGAAGTACTCACCGTGGCCCTGAACTCTGGGCTGTTGTGTGTTTTTACAGAGCCTTGACTGCTAAAGCGACATGGTGGAGTTGAGGAGGCTGAGGGCTTTTTGCTGGGGCTGCCTGAGACTGAAGACCCTCTTTGGGGGGAAGAAGTTGGTCTAGCTTTTGCATGCAGGGTTGTGGTGGGTATCTTATGTTTTTTTGTTTGAGAGTGTGATTGAGATAAAAATAAAAAGTAAAACAAGGGTAAAAAGCATTCAGTAAGTTAACTTAAAAAAAATCTAAAATGCATTTAAAAATAAAACAAAAATGATAAACTAAAATTGAAGATGATTTAGTTTTTAGAAATTTAAAGGAAATTAAGTGTAAATACAAATTAACTTATGAAACAATGACTCCTCACAGTATTGGTGTATTTTAACTATTCTGTCTACAGACTTAGAGCTGTTTTTCCGACAAACCATAATATCACCCGTGATGACTGTACCTTTTTTTCAGGAGTTGCCCCAACTCCAGCCTTGGCTGTAAGAAAGGAAGGAACAGTAAGTGCAAGCTCATACATTTATGGTTTTAGTTGCCTGAAATCAAGATGTCGATCTACTTGGATCAAAGAAGGAAAGTTGTTGTTGATGTGTTTTTACATCAGTACTCAATGTGATATATCAGATGTTGAGAGTCCTGTTTCCAGAAGCACAGATTCATGTGTTTCAGTTTTTATGTTTGTTTATGATAAACATTCAAATGAAAATTATGTCATTGTTTACTCGCCCTCATGTTGTTCCCATCCTGAAAAAGTTTATTTCTTCTGTAAAACACAGTATATTCCAAGTTTTCTGAAGCCATTCTAGAGCTTTCTAGAAACAGACTAAAATATAATTCAAATCTTACATTTTTGGTGGATTTTTATTTTTTTATTTTTATCAGAGGTCATGGGGGGGATTTTTTTAGTTGTGATCTCCGATTCATATTTTAAATTAACTGATCCAGTTCACACACAAAAAAATTAATGATTCGTTAATAATGTGAACTTGTCTGGTTCTTTATTTTATCTGTTTGCTATGGTAAATAGTCTATTGGAGATGTGAAGATATTCCTTGAACACAGTCACATGAATTTGGTATAACAGGAGGGTGAGGAAAATTATGACAAAATTGCAGGGACCTTTTTTGGCATGTATTAATTTGTACAGGACCTTGTTTTATTATTGAAAAATGCAAAGAATTAAGGATATTTTAACCTTGTACAGGGAAACAACAGTAGATTTTCTTTTCCTGGAGTAAATTGCGGTGCTTGCAAGGCAGCCAAAAGAGTAGTGTTAAAGTTTTAGCTTAGGGTTTAAGCTATGAAGCTGTCTAAATAAAATGCACCATCAGAGCTGGCATTGTTGTTGACATGATAATGAATGCACATCTCATTTTCTTTTACCTTTGCACAACAAAAATCAACACATAAATTGATACCTTCTCCACAGTTGCTCAAGCTGATTAAATAACCATAGGTAAATCCAATTATAAAGAAATCCAATTATAATTCAATTTATAAGTTAATACACGACAGAAGATCAGTTGCAAATATTACAATGTCATCATAATATAAAAAAAGTTATTATTTTATTTACATATTTTATTTATGTATTTACTTGTTTATTTATTGGTTTAGTTCTAAATTTACAGAGTTTTTAAAAAAGGTAGATAGCTAAAATAAAGACAAAAATTGTGGAGAAGTGCAGAATGATTCATAAATATCAAAATAGTGTTGCCTTGCATGCACCAAACTTAGATTGCTCAGCGCCAAAAGATTGCCTTAAGATGATTTGCAACAATAAATGTTTCACATTTTTGAGCTTGTCTGATCTTTTTCTAGGAGATATCCACACAGCTGTGGGAGACATTTAGAGGACGTTTGTCTTGAACCCAGCAGCAAATGCTGACCTTCTCCTTTCAGTATGTGTTATAGTCAACCCCATCAGCATGGGCCTCCAATTGGTTGTTTAATAAAATGGACATCTTGGAAAGGAGTAGGCCCACAAAGGTAATGCACAGTTCTGTGAGTGATACATTCAACACACATCATGCACAGGTGGCATGCAATACAGAGGGACAGGTGAAAACTGTGCCAGCAATAACAGTCAATCGATGCAGTTAGTCACAGACAAAAGCGGAATAACACTGACCACACACAGAGAGGGAATGAGAAGAGATAGACACACAGGGCACAAAGGATCAAGAGAGAGAGAGAGAGATTTTGTGGCTACAAGCAGCCCATTTCTACAACCGAACACATTCTTTTTTTGTTGTGTGCGCTTATAAGAAAGGGTGCTGCCTAGTTCTAATCTACTATAAAAAAAGAGAAGGAAGGGAGAAATAAAAATATTTGTGTGGGGTTTTGAGGAACAGAACGGAAAACAGACCTTTGGATGGGACACTTGCTTTTCTGGCCGGAGCAGCATCTTTAGAGGGGGTTTTCTGAAGTTTAGGAGCAGATTTGGGGGAAGGAGTGGCAGCGGCTGTAGTGATGGGTTTCTTCGTTTTTTTGACAGGATCTGCTTTGCTTGGTGCTTTTGTGGGCATTACTTGGGCACTGGGCTTTGTAGCATCTTCAGTTTTGGCAGCATCAGGTTCAGGTTTGGCAATAGAGTCTGGTGAGGCAACAGACTGGACCATATCAATGGGATCATTATTGCTTGTCTCCAAGTAATTCTCCTTCTTGATCTCTTTTACTTCTTTAGGTTCTCTATGTTCCTCTGGCTTAGGCTCCATCTTGGGTGCAGCATCTTCTTGGGAAACAGGAGGAACAGTGGTCTCATCTTCTTCATGTTCTGGCTCTGGCAACTCTACTTCCTCTTCTTCCCGAGCATCCGTTTGGAAGTCTGTAAGAGATGATTCCTCTTGGGTAGGGTCGGCGGCAGCACTGAGAGAAAGAGGTGAACCTGGATCCGCCCTGCATGAGTCTGGGCTCTTGCTTTCCGGCGGCGTTTTGTCAGAGCTGCACTCCCAGCCCACAGGACCACTCTGATGATTGGGATCCTGAGGTTCTGTGTAGTCAAACGATAGGCCACGTTTTTTAGCTTCCTCTGGGGTCATGGGAAGATGAGTAGGGATTTCATGTTCACTGTAATCTTTCTGGGTTGTCAAGTCCGGGGTCACAGAACTGTGCACCAAGGAAACTCCCGTTTCTTCCTCTTCTTTGTCACTAACATCCTCTTTGTCCTCTTCTTTATCCTCTTTCATGTTGATAGCACTTATAGGTGCTTCTTCCACACCGAAAGAACCAGAAAATCTCTCGGACTTTTCTTTTTCATTCTCTTCTTTCTCCTCCTCCTCAGATCCACTGGGACTATGATGGTCGGAGATCTTATCCGATGGACTCCTTATCAACTGGCTGTCAACGCCTGTGATTCCTGAACCCAAACCATGAGCAAGGGTTGTTGGCAATGGATGTGGGGACATTGGTGATTCCCGTGGGCTGACAGAGCTCTCTCTTTCCCCATTCTCCTGCTCTCCATCCCCATCCACTGATGCCGCACTGCTCCGGCCACTCTCTGGCGGACTTCCGGGTGTTAACTCTTCTGATAACATGAGGGCAGAATGATAGGAACAGCCACAGACAACACTGCAGAATTAGCAACACTCAACCACCCTCTCTCTTACAGTCAACATTAGAAGCAGAGAAAGAAAAGGAATCAAGGAACTGAAAGGAACTAAAAGCACAGAACCACGTAAGGAGCCCGAACACAACACAAAAGACAAGTTTCTGTTTTCATGACAAAAGTTAAACAGTCCAAAAATCTAATTTTACACACTAAACTTTGAGTTAAAGGCACTTTTACACCATGCTTGTTAATCTAAATTAACAAGCAGTATGATGCAACATGGATTGTACCAAAAAATGGGTAACTATGTGGTTGGTAAAATGAGGGGTCAATTTCCTATAAAAGTGCCTCTTCACTCACTCAATCACAACAAAAACCATCAAAACCAAAAGCATAAATATCGCCTGGCCAATCAGACCACAATATTCACAATGACCCACAACATCTCTGTGAGCTTCAGTGTGTAAAGCATTGATGACTGGTAGCAAAATGGCCAATGAAGCAATGAGTCAGTGAATTGTCGATTTGCAAGTATCATTTAATACACTGATGGGAACTTTGTATCTGATCTGAGCAGTAAAAGCATTGTGCTCTGAATGCATTTAAATACATTTTAATGCATTCAATTATCGCTGTATTTGAAAGTCTCATTATTTTCAGACTTTTCATTTTCTCAGATACAGTGTTGCAATATAGAGCCAATATATATAGAAGTGGTTCCCATTGAGATCTCATATGCAGTGAAAGAATGAATCTGTGGTTGTCACGAGCATATTGTTTGCATGTAAATCCACTGAACTTTTTTACACTGCAGGTGGAAAAGGGGGTGGAGAGCCCACCATACCTTCTCCAGCTCCTGCTGTCCCTCCTGAACAGTCGAAATTGTGAAATCACATGGAAACAAGTTAAAAGAACATATGAGATAAGAAGAACATTTACAGCAAAACTGGGATTATTTTGTCCAGTTAGGTAGATTTCCTATTACAAGAAATTCAACAAATATATTGTCTTCTAAACATGCTGAATTGACCTACGGCTTAGCCACGCCCCACTCACTCGGACAAACAGTCAACATTCGGGCACGGGCGCTATGGCAAGTTTGGCAACTGATACAGTAGGAGTCATTTCACAGGAGGCAATTGGTGATTTTTGGAGACAGAAAGATTATATATCACCTCTAAGTCACCTAAAGGGCCTTAGGTGTGCATTGGAGGGTTATATTATTAATTTGATTGTTGAGAAGGTCGATGAAAAGCTTCAGCTCCAGGCAAAAATGTACAGGTCACAGTGTAAACGTGATAAACCGCATATTGTTGCCATCACCGTTTGGTGCTTCAGTATTTACATCGTTCAGCACAACATTGTTAACATTTGTTATCTCGGTTATTTAAAGATGCGTTAATGAAGCTAAGTAACATGATGTACAACGCAGCTAGAAACTAACATTAACTTTTTCTAATGTTAGGCTAACGTTAGCCTAACGTTATGTTAGAGATTTGGAGATAGAGATTAAAGATAATGTTCAAATACGTTGTTGACTTAACTTAGAACCGATGTAGACATCCTTGTTTAATTTATCCACGTTTAGTTGGTGTTGTGGTTAATCCAGAGCAGACACTTATCTCGGTTGGGATTTGGCTTGGGAAAGGGTAAAAAAATACACACCGTCGCCCAGCCTCTCGGGAATCTAGTGTCGGAGTTGCAAGTACCCCATGCAAGAGTTTGACCATTTTTGACAAAAAAAAAAAAAAAAACGAAAGAAAACTGACTAACTGCAATACATTTCAATGGACGTGGAAGCAGAGAATGTCCGAGTGTATTGATTTAGCAGCGCACTTTGATTGGCTCATCGCGTTTGAGGGTGTGGCTTAGCCATAGGTCAATTGTGAATTGAAGCGGCTGGCAGACAAGCACAATGCTCATCAACCTATAAATCACAGGAAACAAAGCAAAATGTTTTCATTCGTTTAACCCTTACCCTATAAATTTAAGTAAAATGAGTCTATCAAATAAAATAAATAAATGGGGAAGAGTCTACATTATGTATGACTTGATTGATATTTGATCTCTCTGGCAGCTCATAAGAAGCATGTTAAGTGAACTTTATAGCAATTAAAGTTGCAGACCCATTCCAGCAGTACTGCAAATATCAGCAACATGTTCTCTAACATGAAATATTCAGCTGATGGCTAATGGTAGTCTAATCCATTTACATCACTCCCAACTTCACAGAACCATAGCATACAACATATGTGATGCTATCTTAATGGCTTTTTTATCAACTAGACAGCTATTTCTCTGACAAGATCGATGTGTTTGTGGCCTTCGGAGATAAATGATGAAAGTAGTCCATTTACTCAGACCTTGAACTTTTGTGAGGTAATAATGCCCTACGTAATGGCAGAGGAAGACCTGTTTTTCTTGGGACCATTTGGCTGAATGTTATTTTTCTGTAATTTTAACTTAAGTCATATATTGCAATTAAGGAAATTTAAAGCAAATATAGTGTACTATGAAATGCACATATTATGTCTCTCTTTTGTGAGAAGTACTGTTATGTGAGTCTTAGTGTCTTGGTTTGGTGCCTTAAAACAGCAAATGACAGTGAAGATATATATTAGCACTTCCAAATGTACAATATTAACAACAATAATTAGAGCTAAAATTACTTGTGGTTTAATAATAATAATAATAATAATAATAATTATAATTATTATTATTATTATTATTACATCCTATATCATGCCCAGGTCATGTCATCAGACAGGTACATGCATCTAAGCCATTAGCGGTTTGAGCTCTTTTCTTATTTACTCATTTAACAAATGGATGTTCTGGGCACTACTATTTAGTGTAGTACTACTCGCCCTACCCAGAACTGACATTATTCTCTTATGCAAAAAGGTAGGGTAAAGTAGACCTGCCTAATTGCTCTTTGACAAATATTCTGGGCTTTTACTGGCCTTGAATCCTTTAAAGAGTTAGTTGTTGCTTGGGAACATTACTTCCTGTTGCAGCAGCATTTTACAGCATTGAAGGCATGCAATTAGCTTTCAGTGATTTTTTTTTTTTTTTTTTTTTTTTTTTTTTTCAGTGCTGCTTTACATCAGCAAATCAACTCAACTAAGTTTCAAAAAAGCTTCTAAAAGCATGGCAAGGTCATTCCTGAGAGGATCCAGGTTTATTGCTGGACCAAAAAGTCAATGGAATTGTCACTGTTCTGTTGGCAATGTTAATAAGCCCTGGTTTTTGGAAAAGCAAAAGCAAGGCATTAATTCTTAAGTTAGTGTCAAGATTCCCACTGTTTTTCCATTACTTTTTCTGTTGTTCATTATGATTACATATGATGTACGTCATATGCATGTCAGTATCTAAAAAGACAAAAAAAAATGGCCTGAGATTTGAATGTGGCTCAACGGAGGATTTAGCTCTCTGAGCCTCCATTCATTGCATCACAGAAATGGATTTTTACTATATCTAATTTCTATGACATTTGAAGTTTTATTACATTTCCATAACATTTCCAAGCATAAAAATAACTTCCAAATTCTCAAATTTTTCCCAGGTTTTCCATGACTGTGAGAACCTTGATGTGCAATTGAGAGAATTTAGAGAGAAAAAAATGGGGAAAATTGGTAGGTGTGGATGATAAATCTACCTAGGTCTCTCATTTGTCCACTGTTGATGGGGAAATATTAGAGGCTGGCTTTTATTACCAAAAGAAAACATTTATGTGCCAGTTATTACATTAATAATTCCAATAACAATTATACAGAATTATAATTTTTTGATTAGTACAATTTAGTAGTATTTTCTTGGGAATCAAAAGTGAATGGTTGAATCAGTAGTGTAAAAGCAAGTTTGGGATTAAATGAACCAGCCTTATAAAGGTGAGTAACAGGCAGTATAGTAGAGCGGCACAATTGTAGTTTAAATTGGAAGATCATACTCCAAGTCACATCTTTATGAAACGAGGGCTTGGGTTTGGAGTCTTCTAAAACAGGCTTTTGGGCTCTCACTTCAGGCGTTGGTTCATGTGTCTCCTCTATGAGACAGAGTCAGCGGTGAACTTTTAGATTGGACAGCAGAGGACTGAGGTGGTTGAGATGGCAAACAAAGCAAAAATTATATTTAGGGTAGTCAATCTCCCTTATGCTCTTCTAGTCATCTAGGGAAAGGATGAAACAGGACCTTGATGCATCTGTTAGTACGCTCTTGAGATGAGAGCTATAACTTCCAAAACATAATTTTGTAAGGGGCAAACTAACTCTCTAAAAGTCAGTGTTGTATTATTTTCCCAACTTTATTTTACCGAATTGATTATTTTCGAGACATTCTGCCTCACTGACTTCTGCCAGCACAATTGAGCTGGAATTTTAGGTTGCTGGTTGATAAGGTTTCGTTTGTGTTCTGTGAGGGAGCCTGGGGCTTGCTGAAAGCTTTGTCAGTTGTGCCAGAACAATCCAAAGCAGGTAGTAAGACAGTTATAAAATATGACCTATTTCCTCACATCTGAGCCTCATCCAACTATACAACGTAAGAAACATAGAAAGAACTAATCTACAATCGATATTATAAGCACAAATTTAAATTCTTCACTATTGTGAACAGACAATTCGGGCAGGACACGTGTCTTATAGAAGCTATTTGTAGATAAACTTTGTTTTCCAACATTTGAAGACATCTCATCATTTATCCATGCATCTTCCAGGTGGTTTTCACAACTTTTTAGCAAATACATTTTCTTGATTTCTCCATGACTTTTTCATTCATTGAAACATATTATTGTTTCAATCACAGCAAATGCATAGACAGAGCAATTTTTTTGCCAACAAAATACTAGAAGTTAGCTAGATTATATAGATATTTCCACAATTTGTCCATGTTTTTTTAAGATTTTATTAATTTCTCTGACTTTTCCAAGGTCTAGAACACGCACAATCACCGTGTAAACTCTCTCTCTAAAGTTGTGATTGTGATCTTTATCATCATTCAACAAATGGAAAATAAAGTCCAACAAATAAATTCTACATGACATTTTGCAATTGACCTGAATGAATGAATGTCTTCACAGACATTTGAAACCAACACATTGCTGAGTGGTTGTCACTGTCAGCGTATGTGTCGGGTTTCTCAATATGAGACGAGACATAAGTGAGAAACACACTGCCATGAGTATCACTCAGCTCTTCTGTGCTTTGTGGGGGAAAAGGGGATTTTCAGACTTTAATTTTTTTTTCTTCTATATCGTACAGTTAGTAACCACAGTATTTCTTCCCTCTTTATACAGACCTTTCACTGGTCCGTCACCTGGTCCCATATGTGCTGCTGTCCCGTTCTTCAAGTCTCCTTGATGTCCGTCATTGATGGTCATGTTGGCTACACCAGATGCTATGTTGTTCCCAGGAGAGTGCTGAGAGTCACCCACCGGTCCAGAATTCATGTGGTCCTGATGGTCCATTTTGAGATGATTTCAGTCTGTAGAGTTAAAACGGAAAAATAAGCATCAGGAGGTTAATGTGTCAAAGTGACAAAGGTGCTACATTGCCTTTTAAGTTTTAACCCCAAAATATTAGTAGTGGGAATATACATAGAATAGCACAGACGTATATACAGGGCTTGTACAATGAAACTGAAACACCGGCCAACGAAGTGTTGGAGGTTTGAAGCCCATATATGTGCAGCCTGGTGGTTTTACATTCCATGAGAGCAGTGTTTGAAGGTTGAATTAGCAGAGCAATAGCACAGGACTGTTGCGTTCGCAAAGCATGGAGGTAGAACTTGATGGGCATGCCACGGTGCACCTAATGGTTTAAACATTGTATCCTGAAGGGGTAATGATAATGCACACAGCAAGTTGAACATCTTTCATGGCGTATATTTGATCCCCTTATTTTGGATTTTGGAGGAGCAAGTCAGACAACCTTTTCCTCCACCAGCATCACATAGTGACATGGCCAATGTTCTGGAAGAGGAATGGCTTAAAATCCTTCTGGCCACTGTGCAGGACTTGTATTTGTCATTCCCAAGACGAATTTATGCTGTTTGGCAGCAAAAGAAGGCTAATACTTTATTGTGGTTAGGGTTGCACAATATACCGATACAGTGAAAATAACATTATATATTTTATTTAAAACCCTATTATGATATGATTTTGCTCATTTCGGTACTTGATGCGCTGCTGTTACGAAGTTCACCGCTAGGTTGTGTCCTACCCAAACTGCCACGAAACCGTCAAATGTGGCAACATAGAGGAACAAAATGGATAAAGCAGGTGAATCTCCCTCAACATCCCAAAAATTGTGGTATCGAGCCAACACTAAAGTGGTCTAAAATCTCAAGTGTTTCATTGTCCAACCCCTGTAGTTGTTAGTTAGTTCGTTCATTGATATATGGTAACCTTTATTTAACTACAATAAACGAATGTCTCAGTTAATTAGTTGGATAGTAGGCTAGCCTTTATTTAAAGGGATAGTTCACTTTGAAATTAATTTATTAATTTAAATAAACTGTGAAGATCTAAACATATTTAGATATACAAGAAATCGCAAAGGAAGACGATTTTGATATATCTAAATATGTTTAGATCTTCACGGTGAAAGGTAAAACTTCCGAAATCTATGTGTAAACAATGATTGACGTAAATGTGCAAGAGATCAGTTCCGGCGCATGGGCAGACCGAAGAGCCCGTACCTTCAGATCAGTTGGACATGTCTGTGGTCACAAGAGGTAAAAACGATATTAATACTGTTCGTTTTCTCACACAAAGGCCATCAATGTGTACTTACATTTACGAGTCATTAAATCATGTTTAATTTGGACTTCTCTGTATATGCTCTTTTAGGAGATCCCCATAGATCCCCACTTGCATTATATGACTGACAGACAACAACGGTTTGACCTAAAAATAACAAAATTCGAAACACTGTGGAAACAAAGACACCTACATCTTGGATGCCCTTGAGGTAAGCTAAAACATCAAAAATTAATTTCAAAGAGAACATCCCTTTAACTACAATACACTATGATGTTTTAGGTAGTTGCTCAGGTATGAGCAAAGAAAACAACTTGACACAGTACATGATACAAAAGCTTAAATTTACTTAATGAGTTAGCTGGTAGGTTGGTTTGTTGTTAGTAACCTTTATTTAACTATGATACAACTATTATGTTAGTTAGTTAGTCAGGCAGTAAGTTTGTTAGTTAGGCGGGGAAATGTTCACAGACATGACAGATGGTTGGTTAAATGAATGAGGGACTGATGGCACTGGGATTTCCTTTCCTCTTAAAGCATACCCAGAGAAAAGAGTATCCTGTTATTTTACTTATGGTCACTGATGTGCTGTCTCGTGTGTGCTAAGCTTCCTGTTACAACTAATGTGGTTTTCATTTTAGCAGTTCTGCTTTATACTTTGAACAAAGTAGATTAAACTTATGTAGTCCCAACAGAGCTATTTGTAAATCCACACTCGAGACAGTAAAGCAAACACTCTCATCCATCTCCTTCACACAGGACGCCTATAAACATAAATTCCACTATTGTCGAAATGGAATAGATGGCTTACATGCAACATTGCCACATCCCATAAATCCTTTTTGTCAATGACCCACATGTACGTAATAAGACACCAGAATGATTTGCTTATGCTCTGAGATCACACAGCAAGGTCATCTGGATGCGGGGGTCATAATGGAAACCAAGTTGTTTTAGGCAAGAAGTGCTGTGGAGCTGAAAATAGTGCCAAAGCTGCTGGGGTGGATTTGCATTCGTCAATTACATTATCTTTAAAGTCAGCAGTGACCTGCTTGAAACAGCATCAGATGCCAAAATGGCTTTTTAAAGGGATAGTTCATCCAAAAATCAGTTTTCATTTGTAAATCCATATGGCTAAGTACGAGTGGAGAAATTTAGGTTTTTTGTGGCCTTTTTACACTTGGAAACTTTGGTTCCCATTTATTGTAAATGTATGGCATTGGCAAAGAATATGGAAAACAGTTGTCAGATGTACACCTTTCATGTTCCACAGATTCATATGGGTTTGGAACAACATTCATATTTTAGGTGAACTATTCCCTTGTGCTTTGAACCTGAAGGTGTTTTGTCCCCAGGCCAGTAGGGATGTGGCCACCTATATCGAAAATCAGAAAGGCATGGACAATGAAAAATGCATAGATAGTAAGGAGAGATGACGGACATGACGATATCAGAGAGGATCCTGAGCGTCATTGACAAATATCTTATCTTGTAAAATGCCTGGTCAGTGCCACCGCTCCCCAACAGAGTATTCAAGAGATTACCATACCACGCATATTGATGGGATAAAAGCAGCCCACAAATTATATACAAAACAATTACCAAACGAGGGGTGTAACAATAATGCACTCTGTCACTGACTAGATATGTTTAAAATAATGTAAAATAAAATCACTTTTTACGGGTAACATAAGACATTTGACATTATCAGGACCGACAAAAATTCCTGCATTGCATTATTATACACTATATTCAACTCTATATAGTAAAACTGTAAAATTGATTTTTTTCCGCACATTTTTGGGGGGGTGACGTACACCCAAAAGATTCTCACTATCCACAGTACATATTGTTGCATTTCTGTATTGTGATAAAATGTGACAAGATATATTGTTACAGCCCTATACCCAACCATATAATTACGAGAGAACGCAAAAACATTGAAATGTACTTTTAGGAAAGCCGTTTTAGTTCCTTTGCGAACATAGGCCTAGTATTCGGCTTCGGGCACATCCCTAGTCACGGTACCATGACTGCAAAAGTGTGTTGAAAATTGGGAAGCATGTCTCTCAAAATACCACAGTGGGAATCTGCCACCTTCATAATAAACTCACACAAGCTGGATTTCCCTGAGGCAGCAGTGGTGCAAACTCAAGCCTGACTCCCGCAGGGTCTTCATGCATTATTCAGAATGGGCTGTGTGATATCAGTAAACACAGCTTAGAAACCATCTGCAACCACTGTCAGTCCAGAACTGGATAAGCAGTGGAAACCGCTATAGGTTTATAGGCACTGATGTATTTATTAAAAATGTTTGTTGCAAAACACAAACTGGGGAGAAACAGCTGAAATGCTCAAAAATGGAAAAAATAAAGGATAGCCCAGCAGCTGGTCCTCAGCAGATGGTGTGTTTAGGATATTGGTATGCTGATCAGATGTCTGATTTGGTCCATGCAGGATATTATTAATTATGTCCTTATCCTTTTTTTTTTTTTAAATTTGTGTGCCTTGTAATCTTTCATCAAAAATATGATTGTCCCCTCCACCCCGCAAAAACATCTCTTCTCTGATGATGACAACCCCTCCATTTCAGCAACCTGTCATTCACATGAACAGCAGTTAGCAAACAAAAACGATCCAGTCAGTTCCCCTTAGACAAAATCTAGTCCTGCCCTACATTTTTCTCATTCAAGAAGCTGTTTCGCTAGGTTATATGCCACTATAGAAGAGAAAAGATGATTGCAACATCTGTTTCATGCTGATTTTACAAGTTTTTGGTTGGTAACCACTAACTGAATTATTATTTTCATGGTACTCCTAAGAGCAATGTGAACATTTTTTAAATGGTCTCCTTTTGTGATCCACAGAAGACAGAAAATCCTGCAAGTATAGAACAACACAAGGCCGGGTGAGTAAAACCTTAACCTTAACAAAAATGCTTATTTTATGTTTATGTCACTTGCAATGCCATCCTGGTCAACCAAGTTTTGTAGGGAAACACTTGCTGGTCTGGACAGCAGAAAAATGGGTTTACTTGATGTGTGATTCAAGGTTTGCTAGAAGGCTATGAACCCATGGTTATAAAAAGCATGTCAATTTCCATCAAGTCAACACTTGATCTTATCCATAGGGAAACAACTTTGGAAAGTGGGCACCAGATGGGGCTGAAGAACAAGAGGGATTTATGACGTCAACCAAAAAGAAAGTAATTTTTTGGCAGAGCAATGTATTATATCTTGATAAAAGATTGCAAGGACAAATTATTTTCTTTGGTTGAATTAAGTGGACAATGAATATTAAGACATATTAAGACCAGGAATGTGTATTAAAGTAAACAGAGCAATTTGAGATTTCATGTCGTTTTCTCTTTTCAGAAGCAGACCTTTGTGAATTTGCTGGCCGTGTTTTGACCTCATGCAGGTCTCCTCTGGCTTGAAGTCAGATTTACAACAGTCGCTGTTCACAGTGCTTAGTGGGTGCACTTGATCTGAATGATTGTGATCCCTCCTGGGCAGTGCAGGCAGAATGTCAATGCCTCTTAACTGTCACCATCCCGTATACAGGACACCTAACTTTACTTCGCTATTAATATTATTATTAAATCCTAATCTAATTATGACAAACTATATATGGATGGAAAGGTCTAAGACTCCTAAATAGATATTTGACTGCTGTATTTTTACTACAAATTATGTAGGAAGAGTAACCGATGTGCACCTCAAAAAATCTGCATCATAACAGGAGTAATATAATATTATCCTCTAAAGGTATAATATTATCTTTTTTGTTTATTTTTTATTACATCACATATTTTAGTAGTTATCATAAATTAGGTATCATTTGAAAGCTTACACACTCGGAATACATCCTGTTAAAATCCTTTTGAAATTGAACGTTGCGTTACAATAGAAACGGTACTCTAAAATATTTTATCAGGCTCCTCCCCTTTTGGCCATAATTATATTTCATAATTTATGATCAAAACCTTTTCTAATCTTGACAAAACACATATTATCAGAAAGGTCTAAGTCTCAAGGTTCCAAATTTTTTGACAGAATTGATAATTGGATAGAAATGTATTAATTTGTTAAGGCAGAATGTATCGAACTAAATTCAATGGAATGTTTGTAACTCGGTGGCTATTTTTGGTACTACGCCTAAGCAAAATCTCATGGGAACTTAAATTTGTGTGATATCAACTTCAAATTTGGAACACAACTTGGTTATATATATATATATATGGTTTATTTATATATAAAATAAAAAAATATATAGTACAGTATATTTGATTTACTGTACATTTAAACTTCCATAACTTTTTCATACTTTCATTTTTTGAAGTGTTTCCTTTAAAACAAGACCAAACTTATGTCTATATTCCAAAGCATTCTTGAATTACAACCTTTTAAGTTTGAATAGTGCATTTTAACCCCCATTCTCAAAAAGGGGGGTGACAACGAAGGGGTTAAAAGGCCTGTGACTTTCTGCCAAACGATGGATGCCTCTCACTGGTTAGGGGGCTGGCAGAGAGCAGAAAGGGCAATGCTGAAATGAGCTGGATGGTAAATGCGGGGGGCTCTTAAAAGACAACACATGGCTGGCTACATCCTGGGGGTGGCCCGTACTGAAGTGGGCAGGCGGAGAATTGTAATGTGAGCTGGCCATCAGCCAAGGGTGGGCAATTCTCACCTCATCAATATTCAGGACACATTACTGCAGAAAGCCAGAGAGAATGAGAGAGCAAAAAAAGAGAATGAAAAAGAAAAAGAAACAGAGACTGAGAGAAAAGGAGGGGGGGGGGGTATTATTGCAAGTTTTATTATTTTAGATTATACTATTATTATTTATTTAAACCTAAATTGTAATACAATATATGAAAATTTCATTTGTTTAATTACAGTTTATTTATTTTATTTATTGAAAAAAAATGTTTCATGAAAATAACTTTCTGCCACATATTTTATACTATTTTTATTATCTATATTTTATACACTATTTCACACCACATTTAATACACTTCATAAAATGCATAATTGTTGGGGCTCCTGAAACTTTTGGCAGAGAAAGTACAAATCTGAATTATTGACCAGCCGAAAATAATGTATTGCTGAGCCCCGCTACTCTTTCAACCCTACAGAAACAGCGAGCAGAGGAGAGCGAGGGATGAGAAAGACAAAATAGAGAGAGACAGAGAGGGAATGTATGAGGGTTTCTGAGCTGAAAGGACAAGAGTGAGTAGGCGAAAAAGACGAGAGAAACAAAGACGAAACAAGCAGGAGGAAAGAATTTGAGCGAGAAAAAGAGAGGGAGGAGGACAGAGAAAGAGAGCTCTTCAGGGATGAAAGGATAATGGAACTGCAGGCAAGAGGAAAGAAAGAGTGACAGACACACACAGACAGAGCCTGCAACTGTATGATACAGCAGATTTCTAGAGGGACTTTCACTGATTTTGCCACAACAGTGCAATGGGCTGCCATCAGATCTAGAGGACTAGAGAATCATGGGTATTTTCACTGCGCCGAGCCCTGTCCTCTCTCATCAGATCGCATGTACTTTTGCCTGAGCACACTATGGTAAATGATCCTGCAGCACGACAGATCTTAAAGGTTTCTTGAGGTCGTGTTCATCAACAGATCGTATCCATGTAGCCACTAGACCACTAGACACGCACTTTCAGTCCACTCACTGACCGTCTGATGACCTTTTGAGTTTGGTTAGCTCTAATCTGATAACGATGAATGATAGCACTAAACAGACATGGCAGTGGTATACAGTAAAAATGGTTTCAATTATTTCAAAGATTTTGCGTTCTCTCGCAAAACGTTTGTGTTTCGCCCAAAAAAGCTTGATAAAGCAGCATTAACACGACGTTTATGAGCGCTGTCTGCTTTGTTTACAGCCGTTACCAGGGAAACTGCTATTTCTGCCACTCCTAAAGCACCTCTTGCTGGCTCCTCATTGTAAACCACATCATATTGTGGGGCTTTGCAAACCTGTATTAATTGGTGGTGGTTGAAGAGATTCCCCCTTCTATGTAAAGCGATTTGAGTGCTGAGAAAAGCGCTATATAAATGTAATGAATTATTATTATTTTTATTATTATTATTAGATACATTCATATAAAAACACCCACGCCACATTTTGACTTTGAAACGTGCTTATGTTTATTCAACGATGTCAATGGCAACCACAAATAGATTTTAGGCGAAAACTCTAATTAAATAATGTCAAAGTCGGTCAATTTATTATGTCAGGTAAATGTATAATCAGTTCAAAGATAATCAATGCAACAAAACATCAAATGCAATGTAATAAAGAGAAAACGAACCCGACATTAGAAAATAAATGAAGCTGAGCGTATCGGCGACTCGACATTCACAGGCTCATCTGAGATACAGAAAGGCCCCGAGTCCCTTGCTACATCTCATCATATAGACAGAAACTTCTTTCACATGGCTAACAATGGTAATTTCCATACAGAGATTACACCTTTTGAGAACAGGAGGGTTTAACCATCCAACCCTCCTTTGTGTGCTTGTTATCTCTAAACTCTTAAAAACCGTATTACCTTTTGTTTTACTTATTTGGAAATGAGACATTTCAAATAATACCAAACATGTATAAAAATGTATATTAAAAATTCATATCATAACAAAAATAAACACCGGTATATTCGGTATGAACCGGTATACCGCCCAGCACTAGCTGTTTGTAAATGTTTGTTGAAACTATGGTTTCGGGGAAACCCGACTCGTTGAATTATGCTAATAATGTTGCACCTTGAGATAGTTGGCTAACAATGCTTTTGGGAAACTCACCCCAGGTTGATTCAATAGGTAAATTTGAGGATGGAATAATCACTGGATATGCTGGTGATTGGTGGTATAGTCAATACTATTCTCATAATTTATATATATATATATATATATATATATATATATAGGCAGCCTTTTCAAATAACTTGTAATGCTAGACATCCTGTAGTTGGACAAATTGTCCTCTTATGATCGGATGCTAATATGAGGCATAAACGTCGTCAACAGCATCATATATTGAAGAACCAGTGACCAGTTTTACATTTTACATTTATTCAGTTTGCTGATACTTTTATCCAAAGCGACTTACAATTGCTGTATATATGTCAGAGGTCGCACGCCTCTGGAGCAACTAGGGTGTCTTGCTCAGTGACACACAGTGGATTCGAACCCGGGTCTCTCAAAGTCATGTGTCTTATCCACTGCACCATCACCACCCTGATGGTTTTCAATATGGAATGGCATTTATCCAGTGATGCGTATTAAACATGACGCAATGTAACCTGTTAGTGGTCCTGGTGAGTAGGATTGGCCGTTTTTCTGCTAAACTGACTCGACGTTTGCTCATTCAATTGGAAAAATGGCCATCTGTCAAACCCTGCACACCAGATACCAGGAGTTAGGGGAGTGTGTGGGCCTTGACTTGATGACATGGCGATCCATAACCTTGTGTAACCTCATGTATGTCTGTTTCAGTTATTCTGAAAAAAGGCCCTGTCAGTAAATGTACAGCCCTTAGGAAGGGCAGAAAATGAGGCAAACGTCCTGCTGGCCTAGAGAATGGGTGAAGAAACTGCAGACGTTTACAGATCCCAGCTGATACAATAAAAGGAGAAATCAATACAGCGGTCATCTTCAAAAACTACATTAAACAACAAACAGAAGAAAACCTGGTGAGTAAAGATATGAACATCCATAATGCTCTCAAAGACGTTTCTTGCTTCTACGGCAACCAATCCAGCAAGTCAATATGGTGAATACGCAATTAGTTCATCATAATTTCCCTAGGTTGGTCCCCAAGAATCTGGATTTTTTTCTGTAATAAAGGTTAATGTCTTCATAAGAGGATTAGCCTAATATGTTAGCCCCTTGTGGCTTTAAAATTCATTATTTGTAATCTAACCATTTGTAGTCTCCCATTACCAGTCTATATCCAAGCCACTAATACATTGAGGTTTTCCTTAAGGTCAACTCAAAGCTTTACCCTATATTATTTCTTTCTTAATAAACATTCCTGGTTTTATTGTGAACTGTTAATCTGGTCATGTTATTCCAAAGGAAAAACTCTTGTAATCTATTAAAATATAATATCTTCCCTGCCCTGAAGACTTTATGGACTGACGTCCCAAAGCTCTCTTATTTTTTATATTCTCCCCTCCAACAAACTGTCATATAGAGATCACTCATCACTATCAAATCAAGTCTTGCGCAACATTTTTTTTTTTTCCGTAGGGATGCACAATATGTTTAATTTAATTTTACAGCTTTACTGCCATCTAGTAGTCACTTAAAGGGATACTCAACACAAAAATATGTCATGGTTTACATCAAAATAGTTAAGTTCAGGTTTCAGATTGAAGACAAATGGACTATGATTGTCTAGAGTCTAGACATTGGTGTTTATTCCTTAGACCAGTGAATGTGGTTAAATCCACTCATGCTGGTTTACTCTGAACACTGGTCCATAATGGAAGGTCATTTCACTGTAACTAAAATATTGGCCTGTTAACAGCCCAGATAGGTTCTAAAGGTTAAATTAACCAAACTGTCCTCTCCAGCTCAGCGTTTCTGTTTTGTTGACTAAATTTACGGGTCTCACTCAGAGTGTTTCAGGCAGACCAATTACGTAAGTGCCCTGTGCGCAGTGTAATTGAAGTGCCCAGGAGATGGTTCTGGAATGCCTCTGCAACAATGCAGCAGCAGCAGCAAAAAAAACGGAGCAAAGTTAAGTCCACTCAAATTAAACTTTTTCATGAGGGCAGCTTAGCATGAAATTGTTGACTATTTTTACAAGTTGTAGGAAAGTAAATATTGTGTTGTTGGTCTTTGCTAGAATCCCTGTCCATACACAGTTGAGTGCCTCTCTGCCTCTGACCTAGTTTTGTCCATCTCAGCTCGCAGCGCAGATTGCAGCATCACTTCAGAAGTGTGCAGCCATCTCTCCATCTCATGTCTCCTCCCTTTAGTCTGTCACTTTCTCATTCTCTCTCTCTCTCTCTCTCTCTCTGGGCACTGGGTAGCAGGATCAGTGAGGTTAATGGATGCATGTCTGCACGTCGTGCCCAAGTGCGTGGCCGTTGCGGACTAATCAAGAATTTTTTTTAGTATTGCCTCAAGTAATGTAGCATGCTTGCACCAGCCAGCAAGATCAACTGGTAAGTTAATTCCAGTGGTTAAGAGTTTATCACTGTCCCACCCCAAAATCATGCTAATGTGTTAAAAGGGATAGTTCAACTAGAAATTTAAATTCTGTCATTAAATGTAATTTCAAACCTGTAAGACGTTTGTTTCTTCTGTGAAACACAACAGGGGATCGGGCCATTCTTTTTAATATAATGAAAGTAAAGGGGACTATGGAGCTACACTGTGGACTATTTGTGTGAGGAAAATTAATCACTATTCATTTTCTCTCCAGTGAACTGATATCCAGTGGGAATGGATCATTGAGTTAGTGAGAACTAGATCTGTCTAATTATTGAACAAATCAATTGATTCACTGAATTTAAAACAATTATTTGTTCACAAATTTAATATCGCTGTCTAACGAACACACCAAGGCTACACTCTAAAAAATGCTGGGTCGTTTTAACCCAATGTTGGGTCAAATATGGACAAACCCGAAATGTTGGGTTAAAAATGTAATGTAAAAATTTAACCCAACGGCTGGGTTAGTCCATATTTGACCCAAAGTTGGGTTAAAACAACCCAGCATTTTTTAGAGTGTATGGCACAATGAATAATGACTAACTAATAAATAATTAAAAGTTGGTATGTAACTTACTTTGAAACAGTTTTCACTCAGATTTTGCTTGTCACAAATAATTACTAAGAATTAGAAACGGCCAGTATGAAATGAAATTTTAAAGAAGACTTGTTTTTGTTTGTTTTATTTGACTTAAAATATATTATTTTTACAGTGCAGAGAGTGCAGTTTATGTCTTGAGAAGATCTGGAATATAGCGCTTGAGTCATGATGCTTTTTTAGTGATTTTTGGAACTTAAACCCTAAACTATATATAGTATAATAATATAAAATATAAAGTAGCCAATATATTCTTCAAAGATTTACATCAAGTTTCACAGAAGGCAGAAACTCATAGAGGTTTGAAACGACATGAGTGTAAATTATGGGAATTACATTTTTTGTGTGAACTATCCCTTTAAGAGAAGCATCATACAAGATTTATCAGATTCTATTTAATCTTACCAAACTGCACATACAGATATTATTGGGACTAATAAAGTAATTCTCAAAGAGAATGTAAATAACATGTATCGCAAGAATTTAATAAGCCTCATTTCTGCATAAACAGAGCATTTCAAACAGCAGAGATGTCCTTTATCTAACCGAAAGACCTTCCCATCTGCCATGTGGTTTCTGGACCCGCAGCCCATACTCTCCTCAAGAGTTCAGGATCACACCTCACTGAACTGAATCTGGACATTAAATTAACCGACTGGCAGAGCAGTCAGTGTGTGTTTGTGTGTGCCAACTCTGGCCGAATTGAAATAATGGTCATGGTGGCAGACGAAATTGCTGCCAGTAACAGCATGATCCACTTAGCATAAGAAAATATTCAGTCCCCAGAAAGGACGGTTGGCATTTACGTGAACGTGTCGTACAGATGCTGGCATAAAGAGGAAAATGTCAATCTGATGATATACATCCAGCAACAAAACTATTCAACTGGCTTCAATATAGAGAATACTAGATGTATTAACTCTATGAAACCTGTTTGTGTGTGTGTGTTCAAGACCGTTATTTTTTGTAAACATTTTTTTTTTCATCTGTTGCCATGGTGGATCAGGACTGCAGTGCACACTGCATGGGATCTGGCCTAGCAGACCAGAGAGACACAGTGTCACTGTCTTCAAGCAGAAAAAGACATGTTGAATCTGGATTTTCATATGTTGTAGCCAACAATAAGCAGCTCCAGTAACTACAGATTTTTTTATTGTATTTATTGTATTTTTTAAGATGTATTTTATCCCCGGAAGTTCCTGAGATCTGATTGGGTGATAATGGCTCCTCTAATCAAATCAAAGTGGTCTGTAACGGTACATGTTTTCGTACTGAACCGTTTCGGTTCGAGGCTTCTGGTTCGGTACGCATACAAACCGAACGATTGCTTGGACCATTTTCCCTGCCAACAAAATTTGCACTGGCCGCGCCACAACGTTTTGCAACATCAAATGGCAAGCGGAATGGAAGCGGAATGAAACTGCGCTATGTGCTTCACGGATCGTTTATCAGTTCGGACCAGCAACATCTGTGCAGCCCGAGCCGATTTCGATCAAGCGACACTGTTACTACACAGCGCTAAGAGATCCAGTAAAGAAAACATTTGAATTCGCCACTGAGGTAATAACATCGCTGCGAGATCTAGAAAGAAGCATTCACAGTTCTCCGTTAACCGTAGATCTCTATTAGATCAAACAGCACTGACGTGGAAACCAGGAGAAACATTGTGCCGTGAATGAACTAGTAATACTTTACGTCCACAGACCAGCAACATTCACCATGGATTTAATATAGTAACACTAACTGTAACCGGTTTGACTGGAATAGTGAAATGCTTTCAAGTATACTTCACACATCTTTTTCCAGCACTTCAAAACTCAAATATTGTATAAATAAAAAATCTATCGAAATGTGATGACCAAAACATTATTTGTTCATCCTTCAACGATGACTCCCATTTATAAACCTGAAAGTTTCAAGATGTAGGAAAACTCAAACTTATTTAAAAATATTTTTTTTCTTTTAACAAATAGGAAATTTCTCTGGCATTTCTTTCTTTCTGCTGTATCGAAAACGTACCAAACCGTGATTTTAAAACCGAGGTACGTACCGAACCGTTATTTCTGTGTACCGTTACACCCCTATAGTCTGTAATGCTCACATCTGGCTTTTTGCAGATTGGGAGAACTGAGGGATTTTAAATGTTTGAAAAGCGACATGGAGATGCGTTTTTATTACACAACGGGCGAGTAGGGTATTTTATTGAACAGATAACTTGCCATATGTAGTTCATTGTAACGCATTATGTATTGTGAGAGTCATTTCGTGGTTGTTGTAGCTGTGCTGGAATTTATTTTCTAGTAAGTACCATGTCTATTAATAGCTAAAGCTGTAACAGTAATGTCTTCAGTCAGCTTGAGATCATTTCCACATTAACTGGTTATATCTCTTAAGAACATTGTTTTCTGAGCAGGAGGATAACCATATTTATCCGCAGTCACACAGATGCCGAAGCACAACCAAAACAATATTCTTCTGCAAAATGCATGCGATTTTGGTTTTTAACCTCTAGGGTCACAACAATTGCATACATTTTAATTAAAAGAGAAATGCAGTTTGAACTGAGTCCATCCTCCTCTGTTCTAAAATAATAAAAAGGTTAACAGTGTAAAAATGAGTAACAGGCAGTTGTCCAGCAAGAGAAACACACACTTCAGTGAGTGGTATCGTATGTAAACTAAATCAGATTCACCTAATGTTTTAATCTCTGTGCCTCAATAGCTGCCGCCAAAATAATACTGATGAAGATGATTGTAGTTGTAGTTTTCAATGGCAAATTTTGCATCTGTATTTTTATATGCAAAAGCAACTCCCTCCATCTAGACTTTTAAAAATGTACTTTTGTTTCTATTCTACAGACCGCAGACATGGCATCCTAAATCTACGACCTGGAGTTACAAAAAAAGTGAGTAGACCTAAAATTTGAAAGAATGTTTGTCAGATTTACTGGAATATTGGGTTTTCTAAATTTGTTCAAAACTGATCAGGAGGACCTTTCTTTAAGAGGTTAATTTTCTCCTCAATTATTTTTGCTCATGCAGGCTTCCTATTCCTTATTGTTCTGTTTGTCCAACTGAAGCTAAAACAACCCCAATATAGTCTTCCAAAATTTTTTTTTTTTTTTTTTTTAAAGAGAAAAAACGTCTAGTAAGGTTTAGCTAATCTAGATTTCACGTGTTATGATATGCACAGACAGGTAATACATTCGCCGACAGAATACCAACTCCGCTATAAAGCCATGGTGAAATACCACCCGCAGATGTCATTTCGTAATCTTTAAATATTAGGATACATAAATGAAAGCGACAGTGTCTTTGGGCTAAAGACAGGCCCGGCGTGTTCAGCAGAGATGGGCGTGGGGGAGGAGGTGCTGAAGAAGATGCAGACGTGAATTTCGACCGTTACGTTTCAAACGTTAAGTAAAGCTTTTTAAAATTATACTGTATATTTTCAAAAAAGAGAGTACTTACAATGGGCGCGGGTGGTGAGAGTGTGGCAGAGCAACGGCCGTGATGTGATAGAGTAGGGCGCGAGAGAGAGAGAGCTTGAGCCAGAGAAAGAGAAAGAGAGAGAGACGGGGAGGGCGGGGGAGCAAGGTGTGTCCGCTGCCTTGAAAATTCTCATCCATCCTCATACAAATTATAATGGAGCAAAAAATGTTGGTTTTATGTTTGATAATCTATTCATTGTAAACTTAAGTAAATGTATTTGCGACCCAGGTTTTGCATTGGCCTAGAAAAAGTACTTTTGTGTAATGTCACACTATAAAATGTTTTATTATTACTATTATTCGAAAGACTTGTATTTGCAGAGTCGCCCAGACAAAAAGCCCCATGGTGTTACAAATGTAAGGTCAGCATAATAAGCGGTGTTCCCGTAGGATCCAGGGGGTCCTTTCATAAAGATGCGCTTTAAATCAGTTTAAATTTACTGATACCATGATGACAATCCATACACGTGCAACATCAGCACCATTTTCAACATGGAGCAATCTGCGAAAATCCCTTTACACCGAAGGATCAGCGACACGTCGAGGCGCGTTTATCGCTTTCAGGCGGATCAGGTCCGGGCACAAAAGCAACCGCTTATCGATTTGTCAATGGTTATGGCCACAAAAGATCTATAGAAAACCCTGGAACCTTTCATCCAGACTGACTTAACACACCGGTGTGAGCTTACATTATGTTCCATCAATGTCTCATACTTCTAGTGTTTTCCACACCGGCAAACCGCGTGCACGTGAAGCATTGCATGCGTGAATCGCCACAATGCCTCGAGATTTCTACGATGCGACGCACGTCATTTAAAAAAAGATAAATAAAGTGCCATGTAAGTTAATATTCTTTAAATGAAGATAAATGATTATTGTCCATATTGTGCATCCATGAAAATAAGATGCTACCGGTAGATGCAAAAGAATAAAGAAAGCAGTCTTTATATATGTGCACTTGATACAATCTCAGTGAAATTACATGTATAACGTTAGAGTTTCTTTTTAAAAATCAGTATATGAAGAAAAGCGGGCCATAATGTCTGTCACACACCCAACAGTCGGATTTACTAACATCCTAAGACCAATACACGAGTTGCAGCGAAACAAGCTAAGGGTTATGGACTTCATTTCTTGATTAATAATGAATCGCTATTAAATACAAGTCTTTGAGTTTGTAAACCGGGTTGACTTACCTCTGTGGCACACTGAGTTATTGTCTGTCCAACTGCAGCAGCCTGCCAGTGAGCAAACCCTGACAAATCCTTCCGCGTCCTGCAAAGGGAGGATGGCGCTAGAGAGCAAGAGGGAGAGTGATGTCAGTCAGGTCAGGAGGATAAACCAGAACTCGAAAATGACATTTCGATGATATTTACACACAACCGAATGCGGTATTTTATTGTATCTTATTTGACAATGTCTGCATTCGGCAGTCTCACCCCTTAGCAGCTCCCTGGAAGTTCCCAACCTCACTTCATGATTCATGATTAAGATTTTGTCCAAAACTTTTTAGTTAGGCTAAGTATAAAGTACACTTAAATGTGGTTCGACCAGACGAGGAAAGACCAGGCGAGGCCATTCCAAAGCTCATATTTCAGTGATCAATACATTTGTCTGTTTATGCTCTAGTTATGCTCTTAATTGTAATAATCCAGTGATTATTGTATGCACAAGGAGTCTGACAACAGTCAATGTCCTACACACAGAGATCTGCACAGTCAATAAGTTATGACTCCTTGTATATACAAAAATCTCACTGGATTATTATTTTTAATGTTAAAATTAAAGCTTTTTGCACATTAGCCTAGTGTATATTTAAAAAGTTTGTGACTATAGACAAAAAAAGAATAACCATTTTATTTTTTGTGCTGGAATTTGTATAAATATTATCTCTTTGGTTATTTTAACTGTTTTCTCTATTAAACGTTTTGGGTCAGTTTGACTGTGCCAGCACTTTTAGATGGCTTATTCACATCGTAATATTAATTCTCCAACATTTCTGTTTATAAACAGTTTGTTTTATATGAACGAGTCCCATATTTTCACAGTCTGTTCTTAAACAAACATGCATGATCCACACACACACACACACACATTGCACCATCTGCTCCGCATATTCTCTATAGAGTTACATACCAAGCCAAGTCCTTTACCTGGACACCTTCACATAAACAGTCCTTGTGTCTTAAGAGATCCTCTGTTTACCCGCTGTACAACCTGCTGGTGTTTTCCCCCAGAAGACAGAAATTGCAATATCAAAATGTATTGTAAATTCTCCTCCCTGCTAAGAGTAATCTTGATCTCTTACTTGCAAAAACCATATAGATTTTTTTAGAATATGAAAAAGAGCAATGCTGTTGATGCTGTCAGTGTCCTTGTGTTCTTCAGCTGTGTGAGATGCTCGTCTGAAAGCCAATAGAGTTCTTGCTCGCGGTTGGGCTTGGGTGGGAGTTGCTCAGCAACCAGCCGGCTTGAGGATGAGAAGGCATTTTTCTTACATGTTGAGGTGTGTCTATGAGAGAGAGACAGTTCTAATGGCCTCATAATGTTTGTTGTATTGACTTGTCTTCCTGTGTTGGATTTAGTCCTCTCTTCCTCTCTTTATTTTAATATGCTTTGATACATCAACCTTTAATGTTTAAAGTGATGGTTCTTCTTTCACAGAAGATAAAGTCTGGGTGTCACAAACCCTTCTGGCCACTAGATGGCGTCTCAGCCATGTCAATATGACTGTTATGTGAACTTTCTCAGAAAGGGTTGTTACAAATTTTTGTAATTCGGTAAAAATCTGACTTAAATAACATTACTTGATTTGATATTAATGAATGCACATTGGTCTAATGAGAAATAAAAACATATTAACATTTTATTTTATCTAACAATGCATTTGCTAGTTTTACTTACTTGTCCAAACCCCTCTTAAATTAAAACTGTAGCCTAATAAAATATTGTAATATCATCATATTTTTGGTAATAGTTGCCTAGGCTGTCACATATGTCGTGAATGTTGTAATTTTATGTAATTTATTGATTACAACTTTTGTTACAACATTTTTGTTGTTACATAATCATTTTGTGTTCAAATTTTAAAAAGTTGTGAAAAAAAGTTGTGATGCCCCACTATTACAGTGTGTGATATTTCATGCATACAGTGAAAATGTGACAAATATATTTGAAAATAAATGAGTTTACTATAGCCCTGTCTCCACTATAACAAAATAAGAATAAGATAATAGTAAGAAAACACTTCAGTTGTCAGTAGTTTTTAGCTGCATCCAAAATTGCCTACTTCCTTACTATAAAAACAGTATGTGACTGCGAGAGGTAGGCCAATGTCTGAGTTCACAGTACTCATAGAGTAGGCAAAAAGTTTTCTGGTGAGATTGGACACTTGGACACCTTAGTATAACATTAGGCCATGGGAGAGGATTTATTTATTTATTAAATATGAGATGGGATTAATGAATGAAGGTCAAGCGACATAACTGTCGCTCACATGATAATGACAGCATGTTGTTGCAAATCTGTTTTGTGATTTGAAAGGTATCCTGGACACAAACAGGAATTAGCTGTTTATTTGTGGCAGTAGCTGTATATTTCGTATGAAAATCTTCACAGTGATACAGAGAAGAATCCCTTCTTATACTATTGCTTATAGATTGTGTTTTGTGTGACTTCCCTCTCCATGTGTCAGTAACACAAGACCTGCTTTGCCTCAGTGTTTCTCAATCGGGACATAGCTGAAGTTAATATGCTATTTCTGTATCATTGTGTTGAAAAATCAAAGGAGATACTTGCGTCCCACAGCCCAATAATAAGGGAGACAAATGACCGCATCTCTTGCCATGAGCCACAAGGACACACAGGGAAAATACAATAGCCTTTGAATGGAGAGCTGTTCTGGTCTGTAAGTTAACACTAGTCAGCTGTGGACCCACACATGTCCATCACTAATCCGTGAGAATAAGCTGTCTCTAACATACTGTAACCATGTGTGTGTACAGACAAAGCTGTTCTTCATTATATTCCCCCATAGCCACTCTTGAAGAGATTACCGGATTCTGATTGGTCAATCGAGGCATCCAGTGGTCAGATGTTATTTATAATGGCACTACTTTCATGTGTCTCATATCCTTGGACACGCTCTCGTTTTAAACGGATATTAGTTCATAACTTTCAGAGAACCTTTTACAAACCAGTATGATAATTCTGGTAGAATCAAATACAAAGTAATACAAGTATTCCTATGAATTCCCAATGATGGCAAAGATGAATTTTCCACATCAATAGCCTACTCCAATCTTTAATGTCACATGATTCTTCAGAAATCATTCAAATATTCTGATTTAAAACATTTATGTATTCCCAAGAAACATTTATTATTATCAATGTTGAAAACAGAAAAATGTTGAGAAAACCGTGATAAGGATCGTAAGGAATCAAAAATTGAATAGAACAGCATTTATTTGAAATGAAATTTTTGGTAACGATGTAAAAGTCTTTACTGTCACTTTTTATCAATACATCCTTGCTGAATAAAATCATGTCTTTTAAACATCCATTTGAATAAATTATCCTAGAGAGAGAGAGAGAGAGAGAAGTGCGTGTGAATTACCTGCGTCTGTGCGGTGTCTCTTTAAAGCTGTGAGTTTAATTACTTCAAAAACAGTGATGTTACCACCACTTCCTTGCTAAGTAATATAATGTATTGATTCATGAAGCTAGTCACAGGGCAGCATTGACAACTAGTTCTGTGCTCCTGAATGATTTAGTGTGTCTGTGCAGAGCGATCTCTGTGTGCGAGTGAGGTGTGTGTGTGTGCTTAAATGAAAGCAGCAAATTAATACAGAATGGGGAATAAAATGATTTGGAACTACCTAAATGGTTTCAATGCACACCTTCCAGCCAATCAGAATCGAGTATTCAGACCAGGGATGGATTATATCCCTGTACAGTCCTGTATAAAGGCCCCCCAGGTGCTCCGTAGCTTGTCTGGGCCCCCCTCTGGTCTAGTGCCCTTGGCATGTGTGCGGATAGGCCATGGTGTAATTTGATGTAATCCATCCATATCCCATCAATGATGCCACATTTCACTTAAAAGCATTTATCCTGTCTTTGTAAATCTTTAATTCTTGTAAGAGTCAGAGTCTTTTCTCTTTCCAGCTGTTGCTGTAATCCATTTTTAAATGGAAATCTACACATTCAGAGTTCTCTGCAGCTGTCTTGAAAAGAAGGTGAAGTTTCAACAGAGGCGGTTGGGGTGAGGTCAATTTTAATTTTCATGTTTGTTTATTTTTTATACCACCTGCTAGTGAGTTTTAGACTTTGAAAGACCTGTTGCCAATGAACAAGCAGTTTCAGTAACAACACATTTGGAAATAAATGCATTGGTTGTAAAATGGCCTGCAACACATACACACACACACAAATCAAAGACAAAATGTCATACAGGAAAACTGAAATAATTTCACATTTGTCCTACACAAATGACCCAATTTAAATACACATTAATCTCTCCAGAGGTGAAGTATCCCTTTAAGGGCATTAGAGAGAGGAGAGCAGGGCTGAAGGACTGGTGAGACCTGCAAAGGACATCACATTAGTACCTATAGGGGGAAAATTAGAAGACAATCAGATTCTTTCTCATTTCCTTTTGCAACAGTAAATGTGGATGTCATTGAATTTAAAATTCATAACCACCACTGACCTTATTTGTTTACCCAGCCATGATATGTTTAACAAATGCTATAGGAGAAAAGGAGAAAAAGACAAGATTACCATCTACTCACTGGAAAGCAAAGATAGACCATAGACAAATATGGGACAAAGATTTGTGAAAAAAAGTCTCTTATGTTCAATATGTTCATCGAGGCTACTTTTATTTGATCACAGTAAAAATCATTAAAATATTGTGAAATATTATTACAATTAAAACAACTTTTTTTTATTTAAATGTATTTTGTCACTTTGATCAATACATTCTTGCTGAATGAAACTACCGTATTCAAAAAATGAATGGGAGTATATTACACAGTAAGCTAATAAGAAATTTGCAGCTTTTCAAATGTAAAGAATGATCAGACCTTCATAGTTGATACAGCCGTTTGCATCTTCCTGTCCTGCCATTAGCTGTTCTACTTCTGATTCTGTCATCTTCTCACCTGCAAGACATGTGACACACTGTGGTTGCTTGTTTCTGGTGTCAATCTCAAGGTAAATATGTAAAAACCAGTCAAACCAACCCGATCTCACGACCAAGTCGTACGAATTCGACGAATGATTAAAAAGTGGCTAACTCGTAACAATTCATACGACCTCACTCGTACGAATTAATACGATTTTGCTAAATCGTACATATTTTACGAATTGGCTGATTCGTATGAATTCATACGAATGACCTACCCCTTACCCCGCCCCTAAACTTAACCATCACGTGGGTTTAGACAAATCGTACGAATTAGTACGAGTGAGGTCGTACGAATTAGTACGAATTAGACACTTTTTAATCATGCGTCGAATTCGTACGAATTGGTCGTGAGATAGTGTTGGTCAAACACAGATTTTAAAGGAAAACTGTGGTGCAAAATGAACCTTTGGTCTATACACTCTTAGTCGACCGTTCTCTGTGATTTGTTTTCATGCTAATCGAATGTAAAGAGTTTTATCTCTAAAACTGATGGCTCCTGCTGTATATACACGAAGTGCACTGTCTTTATAAAATATCTTCTTATTGAAAGGTCCGTACACTTACAAAGTTCTCAATGCTTCGTTTTGCATGTAGGGACCCTCATTATGTTATTGTGTTAGTGCTATTTTGAGCCTTGTTAGTGGTATAAACTAGCGATTTCTTTTTACTTATTATATGCCCCCATATAGCCTATACGCTAAACAGTTTTTAGAGATAAAACTCTTCACATTCGATTATCATGAAATCAAATCTCAGAGAACGGTCGACTATGTACCAATGTGTAATTAGACCAAAGGTTCATTTTGCGCCAGAGTTCTCCTTTACTAAGATGCTTATGTTAGTAATTGAGCTTTTTTGTATTGTTTTGTATTTACCTAATGTTGCAAGTACATGGCGAAGTTCAGCACCCATTACAGTGCCATTTCCTTCCTTGTCAAAGACTCGCAAGCCCTCAACAAAGTCCTCAAATGTGCCCTGATCTTTGGACTTGGACACGTGTTGGAACATAGGCAGGAAAGTCTCGAAGTCTATCAGTTTGGTGTTCATTTCTAAAGAAAATGGGTATTGCAAACACAATAAAAAAATTATTCATTTTAATTGTGCAACGTTTAGCTATACAGTCAAAGCAAAGTTTATTTCTTTCACCCTCAGGTTTGGGTTTGCCAAGTACTTTGATGACCTCAGCATTTGTAGGATTCTGACCCAACGCCCTCATGACATCTCCACACTGGGCGTAAGTGATCTTCATTTCACCAGTGGGTGTTCTGTCGAATAGCATGAAGGCCTCTTTAAATTCTGTGTGGATAGGACATTACGATATTATTTTGTTTATGAGGAAGAGATATGAAATATCAATTTAGGTATATATTTCATTTAGCAAATGTTTACCTTCAATCTGGTCAGCTGTAAACTCAACCTAGGGAGGGTTAAAAAAGGAACTTTTATAAGGAACTTGATTGATTAGCATTGAGATTAATAATGGAGAAGTGGATTTGTTTCCCTCCAAATAGTTTTATAAATGCAGTTAACAATGGCCAATCACAATGAAAATACAGATACAATTCTCAAACAAAGCTTTCTAGTGCCATTCAACAAAAGTCAGCTCATGCAGACTAAGAATAACAAACGTCTGGGACCAGAGGGAATTACAGTGAAACCGCATCCGTTTTGTCCAGGGTCAAGAGAACAGGAATGCTATATGGGAGACACCAGCGTGGAAGGCGGTATGACCACATTGACTCTTTCATTCTGACCACTCTCCAGAGTCAGACCCCATCTCTGACCATCAGGTTAGTTAAAGTTGCATATGTGGTCTCAGTTTGAACAATGCCTTCACATAGGCACTTAGCTGAGACATTTGTGTGAAACATTTGAACCTTATTCATTGATTTGAGCCATGATATTGTTAGCCAATCAATATCTGAAGGTTTTTAACTCAATAAGACCCAATCTGGGAATGTTTTATAACACACAAGATCAAAACTGTCACCTTAATGTTATTTTTTTGTGTGTGAAAGGAAAAAATAAGCTCTGCGTCCTTAATTGTCTTTCAGGTCTAACTGCTTACAATATTTGGGAAGAAGTTACTTCATGGTTTTCCAATGTTTCTCATGATGTTCTAACACTGAGCTGTTAGTAAAATTGCAACACAAACAAAGCCATACATGTACGTACCTTGATGCTTTTTGGATCAAACTGAGGCTCCTTGGGTTTTTCTGGTTCAGGAGGGGTTGCTGGCTTTGCTGTCTCCTTCTTCGGTTCAGCTTTTTTAGGAGCCATTCTTCCACCAAGATGAAGAGCAGGAGAGTGTGATGGGGAAACAGGAACGAGAATACTTTGAGAAGATTTATACCCTCCTCAATGCTCCTCAACTGCATCAAGAGGGTTGGTCTATACTGTATATCCCATCATCAACCCCCAAACAAGGACAGGAAAGCTTAAGTGTTCACAAGCCAAACCCCTCAGACAGATGCATGGTATTAGCATGTTAACATTGATGAGAACCAGTAAACAGTTTATAGCTCATAATTATCCTCTCAAACTTTTCAGCAAGAAATATTGACACTCTTAAAAATAAAGGCCTTTATTGGAATCTGTTTCAATGAAGAACCTTTTACATCCATCAAATCTTTATAATGCACAAAAGGTTCTTTATAGTGGAAAAAGGTTCTTGAGATTATAATGTTCTTTACCCAAGACGTTATTTTAAAGACTTTGAAACAGAAGTTGCAATAGTCTTTTCTTTCTTATTGCCATCTGTGTGAAATGGCTTCTCGGACCAGATAAAATGATGGGAGGTACTCTTGTTTTACTTGAATATTGCTGTGATGTGATCAAATTGATAATGGAGTGATATAAACCTAAAATGGATCTTATTGCGAAAACCTTAATTTTTAAGAGGGTATAAGATCTTGTTTGTCTATGTTGTGAAACTGTCAAGTCCTGCAACTTTATTTTTAGGTTACTTTTTTCTCATCTGGGCTGGGCTTGTTTGTTTTTTAGCAATAAGGCAAATTTAAAGGCCCCTTTGCTTTCTCACCGTAGGTGAAATGAAAAAGGAAATGCAGATTATTTCCTGTACAATAGGCAGAACCTGATTTCACCAGAAGAATAATAATTATGTATTATTATTTATTTATTTCAAGCAAATAGTGTAACAACAGAAAGGATACACAATAATGATGATAATAATAATAATGTATAATGTATACACTTTGCTTGAAATTGAGTGGGGAGAAGTAAAACTTAATAGAACAAAACATAATAATAATAATAATTTATTACAAATTTTAAGATATCAATGAATATCTATTTTTGACTATTTAAAATTGCAGAGTGCATGCCCATACCTTCACTGAAATTAGCTCAAAATAAACATCCAGACAGAAGGCGTCACCTAACTGACGCCTTGGGAAGCATTTTGACCATGCTTCAATATCTGACGCTTTAGGCGCCCTTTAGCGTCAATTAGATGACGCCCTAGGATCGCGTGTACCCTACCCCCACCCCACACCTAAACCTAACCGCGTCCTCTAACTGACGCTTTCCTTTAGCGTCAGTTAGGTGACGCCGTAGGATCGCGTCATGTAAGTGACGCTAAAGGGTGCCTAAAACGTCAAATATTGAAGCATGGTCAAAGGTGACGCCTTGGGGTGAGAATGCGTTGCTACCCCAGACCTAAACCTAACCCGCGTCATCTAACTGACGCTTTTCCTTTAGCGTCAGTTTTATGACGCCGTAGGATCGCGTCATGTGACTGACGCTAGGGCGCCTAAATCGTCAAATATTGAAGCATGGTCAAAGGTGACGCCTTGGGGTGAGAATGCGTTGAAGAAAACAGTGTATACAGAAGATATAGTCATGTAAGTGACGCTAAAGGGCGCCTAAAACGTCAAATATTGAAGCATGGTCAAAGGTGACGCCTTGGGGTGAGAATGCGTTGGAATTAAACTCAAATTCAGTAACTGACCAGCAACTGATCAACTTTCTATCTGAACCTCAACTCCTAGATTAAATGTTCAATCTAAATCCCCCTTCCACACTCCGTCTGTCAGTTCAGCTGTGGTGTAAATACCAGAAGCCTTTAGTGAGTCGCATAGACAACACAGCAGGAGTGGAGAAGGCTCCTACTCATCCGGTATCTGTTTGCATGTATGGACCACCACGGCTGTGACACGGGACCCTATTATGTTGATGTGATTTCATCCCCTTTAGGTCTCCCTATGGGATGTCCCTCTCCAGACAGAGAGATGCAGGGCTTCTGGGAGTGTTTGGTTTCACGATGTTAAGCCTACATGAACTCTTACTGACAGAGTAGGAAGAGAGAAGTGTTTCCAGGATGTAAGTATGTGCATAGTTTTCAATGTCTGTTACTTCACTCCGTCTAGAACATGTATAACTCGAGGTGCCTGACGTATTGAATCATATAATTCCACGAGTCAACTCAATAAACTGTTGTCTGAAAGAACAATGTTGGAAGATGCACTGCATGTAAATTTTGTGATGAGTGATTTAACTTGGAGCAGCAACAGTTTCCTAAGTTTTATGATTATTATTAAGTTATATATTCAAGGTATAGTAAAAGTAGCTTCACCAAAAAAAAAAAAAAGGAATAGAATAGATCAAACTATGGAAACTATAAATAAAACTACTATAAAATTATCTACTCTATGACACATGGACGTCTGAATAAAATCTCATCATTGCCAGTAAATTATTCTAAATCAATTCCAATTTTTTTCTGTCTATTTTTCTGTGCTCCACACGAGGGCAGCATTAACTAATTGTAGAAGCTGCTATAATGCAGATCCAATCGGAGAAAACTTATTTGAGAATTGAAAGTGAAAGCTACAAATTTCTCTTTTAATTTACTTTAACTTGATGTAATAAAAAATTATAAATAAAAAAACTTTTTAATAAAAGTGTCAAAAAAAACAACACTTAAACTTAGGACTGAACCAAGCTCTGTTTTCATTATCTATTTCTAAACAGTTTTAAGACACATTTTTATTTTAAAAAATAAAATCAAATAGGTTGGTAAGACAGCAAGTAGATAGTTTAAAATGCACCTATGTTACATCCAGAGCTTGTAATTTTCCGTTAACACAAAATAAATGGAAATAAATGATTATGTTTTTATTACCACATTGTAAAAATGATAATTGATATATAACCTCTAACCTCGATCTCTTCAGCCCTTGAATGTTTTGGGGCCAGTTGTTTAAAGTATAGCCTAATCTGCTCAGATTTCGGTGAATGGATTGGGTTAAATCTGGATCAGATCGTCAGTTTTTTTTTGTTTATTTCTTTAATTTTTTACTTTTACTTTTTAGTAAGATTGGGGTACCTTTGATTAAAAAAAATCAGGATACTGATCCTATTTGAAGGTTCAGCAGCAAAAATGTACTGACAAATAACATTTTTATCATGTCATTTATGCACACATTTATACTTTTATATTGCTCTTGATTAGTTGTTTAACTGTTAAAGTAAATTAGAAATAGACATTACCTGTTAAGCCAGTACAGTGAACTGAAAAAAGAGAGAGATTTTGCCACCATAAAACAATCCCCAAACACCTGCCAATGGCAAACAAAACTGAATTTTAATGCTTATGTGTTCTCTTGCGAATGTTTTGTATTCCCAATAACTTTGTGTTCACTCTCAAAACGTTTGAGTTCTTCACGAATGAACATAAGATTTCTAGGAGTGATCAAATCCTATTTTGCTTTGAAAAACCAGCACAAATGTAAGCTGGATTACCTGATCCTGGGTAGCAAAACGTGGGGTTTCCAAATCTAGATCATTTTGATCCAGATTAAAAATTTTGAACAACAGGGCTCTGATGCTCAAATCTAGTGTTCTAGTGTATTACTACAAATGACCAGTAGGTTGAGCCATTGTGCTGCCAGAAGGCTATTATGAGATGAAATGACAGGTGTTGAGACAGGTGGATTGATAGCTTCTGTCTGGGAATGAGTTCAAGATCAAGTCTGTTAGTCATATCCAGGTCATATCTCAATATACACTTTTAAATAACTATTTTAGTTTCCTTTAAGGAAACTAAATTGGGGATTGTCACTTAATTATAATATTTCCATTTTTTTAAAATATTAATAATTTAGATTGATTATATTATATTATATTATATTATATTATATTATATTATATTATATTATATTATATTATATTATTGATGGTTGCCCAATATGCTTTTGCGTGCAAGGAGAAAAAGAAGATGTTATGAGGACCTTACTGAATTTGGCATGGCAACATTAACAGTATGAAAAATCTGACATCAAGTAATATTAAATTAAAGCTGAATAGTAATACATCATGTCACAGACTACTTGGTGTTTCTAGTCCATTACTGAGTTTTCATTGTGAATTACAACTCTGAATACTCTATTGTTGTGTATGATGTAGTCTATTCTCTACAAAGCCTTTTTGTATAGGCAAATTCATGCACCAGATTTAACTTCTTCCATTTAAAATCCTCTGGAAATATACACACAAACCCAAATGAAGAGAGAGAACAGAGAATCTCATCATATCCATGAATGCAGTCTATTCATTTAGTTTCCTGTTTTCATCTTCAGATATTGAAGCATGACTTAATGCAGTTCTTCATAGAACATTGCGAAACATATGAAAATCTGCTTTGTATTAACTCCTTAGCACGAATGAACAGAACTCTTCTATTCTCCAAAAGATAAATTCTATAAAGCCTGTAAGCCTATATTGACAACACTATATAGCCCATAAATCTCATTGTCAGTCCTTTGAGTCTGTTGACCAAAATAATTCATTCGGTGTGTTGACCAAAATCCTGTTGTTGAATAAAAATCCTTTGAATCTGTTGAACGGCTTGTGCTATGTGAGTCATTGGATCACTCACTCAACCGATTACGACCAAAATATAATCTTTTATTAAAATTTGCGTGTCTAATGATTAATTTAAGAGACTTCTGAAAGAGTGTCTCGGTTCATTCAGATGGCTGATTCGTTCATAAGGAAAACAGTTCTCCAAGGCTGTTCAAACTCAAAACTGCAACAATTTAGTCAAGGGAGGTAAGACTTTCAGTAGGAAATGCTTCAAAGTCATCACTTTATTAACGACTTGTTGAAAACACGGACTTGTTCACGAATAAAACACTACTCGACATAAGAGAGTCCAGTATTGGCTGTTGTAGCACTTCATGGAGGTCATAAATTAACGCGCTGTCAGAAAGCACTTGGTTGCCTTTTAAAACGGGATCATTTCCAAACCGGACATCTTCTTCAGCGTGCTCGTGGGCAACGCGAAAA